ACAGCCCCTGGTTCCCATCTGGTGGCTTGGCCTGAATGCTCTCCCTCCTCCTCCTGTCTGAGTCCTAAGTCCACCTCTACCCCTGCCCTGCCCAGGGAAGAGCAGGCCGCCTTCCTGCTCCCCGGGTCCCCAGGCCCTGCCCATTTTCATCTCCATCTCCATCATGTCCCGGGGGTCGCGTCTCCTGAGTGAACACCCTCCTCTCCTCTTCCCTCTGGATCCCTTGTGGTGCCTGGCCCAGCTGACAACCTGCAGGTGCCATCATCTGTGCCAACCTGGGCCTTGGCAGAACCGTGCATACATGGCAGGCTGTGTCAGAGCCAAGGCTGGGTTCCTGGCTCCCTTTCTGTGGCCTTGTGAGAGAACTGTGTTGTTAACCTTGGACTTGTGAAATAAAGATTCATTCTGGATTTTTTAAATAAGATTTATTTATTTTTAAAATTCATTTGAAAGGCAAAGATATAGAGAGGGGAGGAGAGTCAGAGAGAGAGAGAGAGAGAGAGAGAGAGAGAGAGGTCTTCCACCTGCTGGTTCACTCCCCAAATGACCACAATGGCCAGGGCTAAGCCAGGCCAAAGCCAGGGGCCTTGAAATTCTTCCAGGTCTCCCACATGAGTGCAGGGGCCCAAGCACTTGGGCCATCTTCCCCTGCTTTCCTGGGCACATTAGCAGGGAGCTGGACTGGAAGTGGAGCAGCCAGGACTCAAACTTGTGCTCATGTGGGATGCCTGCATTGCAGATGGAGGCTTAACCTGCTGTACCACAGGCCCCTCATCCTGGGTTTTAAAAAAATAGTATTTTTCTTGTTAAAAAAAGATTTATTTATTTTAAAGACAAAGTGATGGAGAGAATGAGAGAGGAAGACACACACACACATGCATACATACACACACAGATTTTCTATCTACTGGTTCACTCTCTAAGTAGTTGCATAGTCAGGACTGGGCCAAGCTGAAGACAGGAGCCAGGAATTATATCCCTGGCCTCCCACATAGGTGGCAGGGGCCCAAGCACTTGGGTCATCTTCTACTGCCTTCCCAAGTGTATTAGCAGGAAGCTGGGTAAGAAGCAGAGCAGCCAGGACTTGAACTGGTGCTCTGATATGAGATGCTGGTGTCACGAGGGGAAAATAAACTGACTGTGCCCTGATGCCAGCCTCCATTTTTCTTTTTCTTCTTTTAAAGACTTCTTATTTGTTTATTTTAAGAGTAGAGTGACAGATTGAGAGTGAGGGAGAGAAAGAAGAAGAGAAAGAGAGAGCTCTTCCATTAGCTGGTTCACTTACCAAATGGTTGCCATGGCAGGGGCTGGGCCAGGCTGGAGTTAGGAGCCAGGAACTCCATCCAGGTCTCCCACGTGGGTGCAGAGGCCCATATTTTGCCACCTTCCACTACCTTCCCTGGGGCATTTGAGCAGGGAGCTGAATCAGCAAAGCAGCCAGACTTGAACCAGCACTCCAATATTTGATGCCAGCATTGCAAGCAGAGGCTTAACCTCCTGCACCACAATGCTGTCTCCCCTATTTTTCTTTTTAATTCATAACCCTTGTAAAAGTTCAAACAGAGGGGCCAGCATTGTGGCTGGTATAGCAGATAAAGTTTCTGCCTGCAGCACTGGCATCCCTTATGGGCAATGGTTTAAGTCCTGGCTGCTCCACTTGCAGTTCAGCTCCCTGCTAATGGCCTGGGGAAAGCAACAGAAGATGGCCCAAGGACCTGGGCTCCTGCCACCCACGTGGGAGACTCAGATGAAGCTCTGGCTCCTGGCTTCAGCCTGCTCCAGTTGTAGCCATCTGGGTAGTGAAGCAGTGGATGGAAGATCTCTCTGTGTCTCTCCCTCTCTCTCTCTGTAACTGTGACTCTCAAATAATTAAATCTTAAAAATTTTAAACAGATTTCATTTCTTTATTTATGCTGCCGTGCCAAGCTATGTATATCAGAAAAAACTATTTTTTATCCTCTAATTAAGAGGACAATCAAGGCATCTCCAAGTATTGCAGAAAAATCAAAAACTGTAGTTAGAAAAAAAAATAATCTGTTTTGGAGCCATACAGAAATAGCCACAGTTAATACTTTATGAGTTTTCTGTACAGATCTGGTGTTGTAGCACAGCAGGTTAAGCTGCCACCTGCGAAACCAGCATCCCATATGAGCACCAGTTCAAGTCCCAGCTGCTCTGTGTCTGATCCAGCTCCCTGCTAATGCACCTGGGAAGGCAGCAGAAGATGGCAAAGTACTTGGTCCCCTGTGGGGTCCCTGTGGGAGACCCTGATGGAGTTCCAGGTTTCTGGTTTCAACCTGGCCCAGCCCTGGCTCTTGCAGCCATTTGGGGAGTGAACCAGTAGGTGGAAGATCTGTGTGTGTGTGTGTGTGTGTGTGTGTGTGTGTGTGTCTCCCTTGCTGTCTCTATAAACTCTGCCTTTAAATAGATAAATCTTCTTAAAAAAAAAAGATAAAGACTGGGGTTACATCCTGGTCAGTTAGAAATATGGGTCAGCAGTGCACGTCACAGCCCTCAGCTCTGCAGCATCACAGCTCGGCGTGGGCGCCTTCAGATGCCCAGGACACTGGGAGTGGGGAGGTGGGGAGGTCACGCACACAAAGCCCGTCCTAGTCAGGTGCTGAGAATCTCGCGTCTCTGTTGAGCATGGTACTGGAAGTGAAAGCCAGCAGGGCTGTAAGGGGGTGTTTCCACACCATTGTGAAGTCAGTGCTCAGAGGAGGGGGATGTAGAATGCAGACAGGGTCGGTCTGCACACACCAGTGCGTAGCACGCTTTGTCACGAATATTTTCCATCCATAATCTTCTCTTTCCCTCTCTTCGTGGAGGGACCATTATCTATCTAACCAGGGAATCAGCAGCTCCTGCCCCCGCCTGGGCTTCAGCCTGGGCCTGCGCTTGCTTTCTCAAGGGGGTTCTGTTAGGGTTTGCTAGAGGCAGTGAAGTGCAGGGGAGAGAAAATGGACCTCAAGTCAGGACCTGGGGCACCAGAGGCGGGGAGAGGGAAACCTGACTGAGGACACGACTGTCACTCAAGTCTCTGCTCTCTGAGTCTCTGCGAAGGAAGAGGAGTCGATCAAGTTCTCTCTAAGACCTCTGCTCTTCTAATCTCTGGCATTCACGGCCAGCAGGCTCTGTTGGGGTCCTGGGCTGTCTGGTCAGGGCCACGCCCACCGGGTGCAGAACTAGGCCAGAGAGTCTGGGCTGAAACCAGGCGGGGAGTGCCTCCGGCCGCCGGTGCCCCTGAGGGTCATTGCGGCTTCTGCTCACAGCGGAAAATACCCAGGTTAATCTGTGGATTTTTTTTTAGCGACAAAGCGGGTGTTTATTTAAGGGTTCTTGCCCGGAGGCCTTACCTAACTAATGGCTACCTGCTCACGTGCGGGCATGGGGAAGGTCCCACGCCAGACGGACGGGGCTCAGGCTGCCCTGGGCTGTGAGCTCTGCCATGGGTCCCGGCCCAGTGGTGCCACTGGCCGTGTCGCAAGCAACAGAGAGCTTGTATGTACCTGCAGCTGTAAGTTGTGCCCACAGAGCTGTGGGTGATGAGCAGGGTGCTCAGCCTTCCTGGTGTGAGGCGATGTGGGGAGGCCTTCCCTTCCCCTCCGCACCTCGCTACAAAGCAGCAGCAAGCCCTGTCCCTGGACTACGTATTCCAGCTCCCAAAGCCCCCACAGGGCTCCAGGGTGCTGGTCTGGGCTTCTCCGTGTCTGAGTGGGGCCCCCAGGGTCCCCGATTTCCGTGCAGCACTGGTTGCTTTGGCTGGCTGGGGGCCTTCTAGAATACATGGAGCTCACTGAAGAAAGGAGGGCGTGGGACAGGGAATGTGGGACACGTACATGGTCCAGGGTAGATCCGGTGACCGTCTGTGGACTGGGAGGCGTACGAGAGGCAGGGACAGGCCGCCAGGTGGGATCTGGATCTTTCTCACATAATGTGGTGGATTTGTAGACTCAGGCTTGAGTTCCTGCCCCTTTCTCTGTACCCCTGGCTTTAGCTACCCCTCCCCCCAGAGATGATGGGTGTGTGTGTGTGTGTGTGTGTGTGTGTGTGTGTTTAGAAAGGCATAGGTGATTCCAAAGCATGTCAGCCCTTCCTCTAATCCCACCCCCTTCCCATGGATCTCTCTCACCTTCCTTTACTCTCTCCGCAGTTTGACGAGATCCTTTCAGATCTTTTACTCAATATGGAGAAGTGACAAATATCTGTTGTGGAGGTTACTGTTACGTTTTTTAAATAAAATACAAAACAAGACCTGCCCTTCTCCCTCTCCGTCTCTGCCTGCCTCTGCCTGAATGTGCTTGTTCCAATAGAATAGCTGGGCAACAACTCCTTGATTCTCTCGGAAATCTCATTACTGCTCCAAGGGGAAATGCTAAGCTCGATTTGTACCAGAGATAATTCCGCTAAGTCCCTCACCGTTTGGACGAGTCCCGGTGAGGTGCAGTGACCGCCCCATTTGCGGCAGACCCAGGACCAGGGCTGGGCCTGCCCGTCCCTTTGGAGCTGTCCTGATGTCACGGCTGTGAAGTCGGGGTTCGGGGGTCGAGGGCCGGGAAGGACTGAGGCCTGAGGCATGAGGAGGCGTGGGCAGGCTCTTGGGCAGAGGGCCTGGGCCAAGGCCGCTTGGGTTCCGTGTGTCGGGTGTTGCTTGAGGGCTGACATGGGCCAGGTGCTGTGCTGGAGGAGGGGCTGACTGCCCTGCGCTCCCAGCCGTGGGCGCTCCCTGGAGAGACCCTCATGGTTCCTAGGGAGGGCCCCGATTGCAGGTCTGGCCTGAGAGACCAGGGTCTCTGGGGTACTAGACATCAGTGGGAAGGGGCTGCGACCTCGGCTGCAACCGCTAACCCTCACGTCTCACAACTCCCCTCACCCCATCCTGCCGTCCACGGCTCTTCGTCCATCTGCCTCCATCTGTCTCTCTCCGCGTGCGCTTCCTGCCCCCTCGCTCTGCCACACCATCGTGTCCCTGTCACATGCTCTCTTTCATGCCAACGCAGGCGTGCTGGTCACCATGACAACAGAGACAGGCCCCGATTCTGAGGTGAAGAAGGCTCAAGAGGAGGCCCCGCAGCAGCCCGAGGCCGCCGCTGCGACCACCCCCGTGCCCCCCGCCGGCCACGGCCACCCAGAGGCCAACTCCAATGAGAAGCCTGCGCCCCAGCAGGACGCTCGGCCTGCAGAACAGGTGTGTGCCCGGGGCGGGGGCTCCCTCTTCCTACCCGGCCAGGCCCCCAGGTTTTGTCAGCAGGAAAGAAAGAAGGAGATAAAGGTTGGTTAACGCTCTGCTGTGTGCTGAGCAGTGCGCTGAGGGCACTGTGGTTTTATGTTTAGTTCTCCCAAACCCAGGAGCAGAGCCGTTAGTTTCCCTGTTGTACACTTGGGGAAACTGAGGCTCAGCAGGATGAAGTGAGTCACTCGAAGTCACATCGCCATAACTAAAGTGACAGAGGTGGAAGTCATGTCTAGATCTCATTTTTTAAAAAAGATTTATTTGTTTATTTGAAAGTTGGAGTTGAGAGAAGAGAGACAGAGAGAGGTCTTCCATCTGCTGGTTCACTCCCCAGATGGCCTCAACGGCCAGGGCTGGGCCAGGAGCCAGGAGTTCTTCCGGGTCTCCCTGGGGTGGCTGGGGCCCAAGGCTTTGGGCTATCCTCTGTTGCTTTCCTAGGTGCATTAGCAGAGGACAGGATCAGAAGTAGAGCAGCCCAGACTCAAACTGACACCGTTAGGGGATGCCGGCTCTGCAGACTGTGCCATGGCACCGGCCCCTAGATCTGATCTTGAAAACTGTGTTCTTTACACTTTGTCTTCCTGCCCCTTGAGCCTTTTTATTCTAGCACAGCAAGCCCAGTATGACCTCAGTCAAAACCCATCACCCAAAAGCCTCGAGAGACTTGGGGAATCGCCCGGCCATCAAACTCCCAACTCCCTCCAAACAGGCCTGGAGAAGACCGGGAGAAGGCCAAGGTCATCGACGGAATCAGAGCAGGGCTCTGGCCTCCCTGCCCCAGCTGAGACCATCCACAGCACCCAGCCTTGTGCTAGACGCAGTGACAGACAGGAAGGAGGAGGCCTAACCCACACAACGTTCCAGGGAGACAGGACAGCCCTGGCCACTGGGTGTGGTGCTGTGGGACCCGTACCTGCAGAGGCAGCCCCCACCTGCACCTGTCCCATCCCATACAGAACCACATCCCAGCCAGAGGCCCTGGGCTCCGGGGCTCTCGGAGGGCCCTGACTCATTTCGTGGCTCCTTCTGGCTTAGCCCTGGCAGCCTCTTCATTGCTTCTGGTTTGTGTGAAAGGCCCTGGTTTCGCACTCCCTGACCCATGTCTTCCCTTGCTTGGACCCACAGAGCCTAGACATGGAGGAGAAGGACTACAGTGAGGCCGATGGCCTGTCAGAGAGGACCACGCCCAGCAAGGCCCAGAAGTCACCCCAGAAGATTGCCAAGAAGTACAAGAGTGCCATCTGCCGGGTCACTCTGCTCGATGCCTCCGAGTATGAGTGCGAGGTGGAGGTAGGGGAGTGCCCGGCGCCATATGCCCTGTCCCCGGTCAGCTGGCCCAGAGCAGGGCAGGCTCCTTCACGTGAGATGACCTGGCCTGGCCCTCCCTGTACAGATGGTGGCCCCAAGGCCTGGAGAGGGCTGCTCTGATTAGACGAGGCACAGGGCTGGCACGGGGAGAAGGTTCCGTAGGTGGCTGTACCTTGGCAAGGATGCCACCAGCCCAGGCCTGAGCTGCAGCCCCGAAGGCCTGGGAACTAGGCTTTCTACTCCCCCAGCAGACACTGAAGCTTACGCTGGAGTCGTTTTCATGTGTTTATCATGGAGAGGGTGCCTCCCTCCCTTGTGGATGCCCCTGTCCAGGACACACAGCCACCTAGTGCCATGGTGAGGGTCTCCTGGGCACGAGGAGGCAGTCTGCTGGCAGGCTGCTCTATTTCACGTGCCCTGTCCCACAGTGGGCTGGCCCCTCTGGCCCGACGTGCACTGTCCCCTTTCCTCATATTGGGTCAGATTCATACCCTAATTCTGGATTCCCACTTGCACCCTCTATGAACCCTTTTCCCTTTTTCTTCTTCTTTTTTTAAAAGATTTATTTATCTGAAAGAGTTACAGAAAGAGAGACAGACAGACATAGAGATCTTCCATCTGCTGGTTCACTCCCCAAATGGCTGCAATGGCTGTGGCTGGGCTGGTATGAAGCCAGGAGCCAGGAGCTTCTTCCAGGTCTCCTTTGTGGGTACAGGGGCCCAAGGACTCGGGCCATATTCTGCTGCTTTCCCATTAGCAGAGAGCTGGATCAGAAGTGGAGCAGCCAGGACTCGAACCATTGCTCATAGGGGATGCCGGCATCACAGGCAGTGGCTTAACCCGCTGCTCCACAATGCTGGCCTGTCTGTTAGCCCTTTTTCCTTTAGGGGCTTGCTCCTGTCTGTGCATGACGCCCGGCTCATCCCCTCAAATGCAGAAGAGTTTAGAGGGTGGCCTTGCTCCTCGGGAGAAAGAAAACGCTCTCTCCCACTCTATCCCCACAGGCCTGACTCCCTGACTCCGTACAGGGGCTTTGTCCCAGGCCAGTTCCACCTGCTCAGATGGACTCCTGGCTCAGGAATTCCTTGTGAGGCCTGGCTTATGGACCTAGGCAGACCTTGAAGGGACCTTACTTTCTGGGGTCCCCTGCCCTGGGATCCCCTTATTGGTGCTTTTGTGCTGATAGATTTGAGGCACCCAGCCAGGTTCAGGGTTTGGGATCCGCAGGCCCGGGCATTAGTTCACAGAGACCCCAGGCTGGGCTGCATGGGAGTCGGGGGAGAAGGGGGCTCCAATGGGGGGCTTCTGCCTTGTGAGCTCTGTGAAGCCTCACTTGCTGCCCAGGCTGGGGGCGGCACTCCAGGCTGTTCCGCCCTGAGTTCACGTATACCCAGGGTAAGAGGAGGAGCCAGGGCAAGAGGGTCACGCTGTGACCTTGAGAAATCTGCCACTCCCCATGCCCCCACTTCAGCTTTTCCACAAGCAAATCCAAAGCCTAGACAGAGCCCACCCAGCTTTGGAAGAAGGGCGGTGGTGAGCTGAGTGCAGATGTCAGCCCCAGAGTCTCTTAGGACACAGAGAACAGAGCCAGGAAGGTGGGCAGGAGTGCCAGGTCCTGTCCAGGTGGGGTGGACTTGTCAGAGCACAGCCTGGCCATGCTCTGGCCTCACGGTGGCTCCGCCCTCCTCCCCAGAAACATGGCCGGGGCCAGGTGCTGTTTGACCTGGTCTGTGAGCACCTCAACCTGCTGGAGAAGGACTACTTCGGCCTGACCTTCTGTGACGCCGACAGCCAGAAGGTACCTGGCTCGGGGATGCTCAGCGGTGGGAGAGGGCAGATCTGGTCCCCTAGGCGCCCACAGGCCTGGCCACACCCCGTGGCTTCTGTCGGGCCTCAGATCTTCATTAGCGCCTTCTGTTTGCCAGCACCCCCGGTTCTCGCCCTCGACGCCCCGCCCTCAGTCCTTCCCCAGCAGCTGTAAGTCACTCCCAAGTGCGTGTCCCATGGCTGCTAGAGTTGCCTGGAGCCGCTGGGCAGCTCCCCCCTGCGTCTCTCCCCACTCCCGGCACGCTCCCTGCCCGAGTCTCCTTCCCACCCCAGACCCTGCCCACTACAGCTATGGCGCTTGGTTCCCCGCGGCTGCCTGTAGGCAGTCCCAGCCCCAGGGCTCTGGATCTCAGACCTCATCGCTCTCACCTCCCAGTGCCAGGAGAAGAGCCCAGAAAGCTGAGCCGGGAGGTGTGGTCGACCAGCTGCTTCAGGGCACTTCTCTCCCAGGCCTCGCCTCTGCCTTCCCGCTAAAGAACTCTGCCTTCCCTTGCAGAACTGGCTGGACCCCTCCAAGGAGATCAAGAAGCAGATCCGGAGTGAGTGGCTGGCGCAGCTGGGCCTGTGCTGGGGGGCTGGGCGGAGCCCAGGTCTGCTGCTCCCCCCCCCCGCCCCTCCCCATGCAGCGGGCTCCCACGCAGCTCCTGGTGAAGGCAGGGCGGGAGTGACTGGGGACCCTTGTCTTCTGGGTGATGAGTCTGAGGCCAGAGAAGAGACATGGCCACAGTCACACAGGATGTCGGAGGGGTCGGGTGTGCAGTTAGGATGTTAGCCCTAGAGAGGCCTGCAGAATCATCTAGACACAGACGAAGGGATGGCCTGGAAGTAGGCATCCCCCGTCCAGGGCGGGTGCGGACATCAGTAGCCAACACCCCGTTCCCGGAGGCCCAGAGAGCGGCAGTTATGTGCTCGCGGCCACAGAGCCAGGTACCAGCTGAGTGGTTTTGAGCCCTGGCCTTCCAGTGCCACCCTGTGCACTTTTTGAGGCCTGGGGTGATGGCAGACGAGCAGGCTGACAGCCTGTCTTTTCTGGCTGGGAGAGAAGAGGCCTGTCGGGAGGGATGGGGCAGCTTTCAGATGGCAGAAGGGGGACGTAGGTGGCCTCAGCGAGAGGCAGCCTGCGACGCGAGAGACCTGGGGCCTGGAGGCAGCGTTCCTCCAAGCAGCGCCCCTCCCCTTGGCTGTGGTTGGTCTTTCCTGGACTCCCTGGTCCCCTGGCTGGAAGGCTGTCGCTGAGCCTGTTGCCATGACAGCAGGCAGCTGGGCCCGGGGAAGCCAGCTGACTCTGCGGGAGGGGACTCGAGGACTCCTTCCCGTCGGCTCCTGTCAGTTGGAGACAAAGAGGCAGGCACACAGAGAGAGCACGCTCCTCCGGGTTGGCCGAGTCCCAGGCCTGGGCTTCCAGCTGCCCCACCAGTGCCCCGGCCTGGCTGGGAGGCCTGCCTCTCGTGCCTGAAGGCACTGGGACACATGTAGGCAGCCAAGTGTGCGGCGTGTAGTAAGGACCAGGAGCCTGGAAAAGAGAGGCAGCAGGACCTGATCAGCAGGCCTCGGATCCCTCTGAGTCTGCCGCAGCCCATCTGCAGCCTCTGCCCCCACACAGCCCAGGCGTGGCCTGGACCCTTCGCAAGTGCCTCCTCCAGTGGAGCCACTCCGTCCCCACCCCCGTAGCGTCCATCGTCCGTCCTAATCTCACCTTCCCCTGGGGAGCTATTTTCGACCCCATTTCCTTGGTTTATGACAGTGCCCAGCTTTCTGAAGGTGGTGTCATGAGCCCTTGCATCCTGGATTTTAGATTGTGGGTATCTCTGCCCAAACCACAGTGCCAACCACCAAGGCTTCTGGGGAGAGTCCTCCACTTCTGTGGGCCCCTGCATGCCCTGGGCAATGGATCAGTAACTCCTGTTTGCCAAGGGGGTCGACAGTCGCACTGTGGATGCATGGGCTGCAACCACCCTTAGGCTGTGCTGTTTCTCCTGGCTTCCCTGAGACAGTCTCGTGTGGTGGGCAAGAGGACAGGCCCTGAGCCAGACCACCTGGGTCTGCATCCTGGCTCCATCACCACTTCCTGGGTTCTTTCCCTGTCCTGTGCCTCAGTTTCTCCCTCTGTGATGATCCTCCCTGCCTTGAGGGTCATGAGCATTAAGTGGGTTATTTGTTTTTCTTTTTTTTTAAGATTTATTTATTTATTTGTTTGAAATAAAAAAAGAATTAGAGAGGCGGAGGCAGAGAGAAAGCAAGAGAGAAAGAGCAAGAGAGAGGTCTTCCATCCACTGGTTCACTCCCCAAATGGTCACAATGGCCAGAGCTGGGCTGATCTGAAGCCAGGAGCCAGGAGACAGGAGCTTCTTCTGGGTCTCCTACGCGAGTGTAGGGACCCAAGGACTTGGGCCAACTTCTACTGCTCTCCCAAGCCATAGCAGAGAGCTGGATCAGAAGTGGAGCAGCCTGGACTCGAACCAGCACCCACATGGGATGCCGGTGCTGCAGGTGGCAGCTTTACCCGCTATGCCACAGCGCTGGCCCCTTGAGTGGGTTATTACACGATCAGTCCCACATTGCCAGTGAGGACACTGAGGCCTGCACACGGCGTCAGTTATCATTGTTATTATTCCTGAGACGGGTTACTTCCCCTTAAGGCTGCTTGTGCAAGGGGGTCACTGTGGTCAGGAGCCTGGGCTCTGGGGTCGCAGGCCAGAGCTTGGACTCCTGTTCTCCACCAGCTGAGTGGCACCAAGGGTGACTTAATCTTTGTCTATGAAAAGGAAAGTCTCCCTCAGGACAGTCATAAAGACTCAACTCCTGTGCATGTGTGTGCGGTTCTTGGCGAGCAGAGTGACCGGAATTTACTGTTTGAGACCTGACTCTGTCCCTGCCCTCTGAAGATGATGAGGACCACAGGGACAAGGAGGGACGACAACATGGCCTCCAGCCCTTCCTGACCACGGCCCTGCCCTGGATGGGATTTGCTTCCTCACTTTGCCAGGGCTCTTCTTAGAGCTTGGAGCCCACACGTTCCGGGCGTGGTGTGACCCTTGTTGAGAGTACGGATGTTCAGTGCTCCGCCCCGGTCCTCTCGTCTTCCCTCCACCCTTGTCTCTCCAGCGCTTGTCCCTTCTCTCGGCTTGCAGAGCTCCAGCTCCGATCTCAGCCTTTGTCTGCACCTTCTCCTGTGTGGACATTTGATTTCCACCTCTAAAAGTGCAGGCTCACTTTTATCCCTGCAAAAATCCCTTTGTTCCTTTTAGAGCTTGCAGGTCTCGTTTCTAACGCAGTTTTGCCATCAGAGATGGAGTCCACAGGACACAGGCCAGGGTTTCCCCAAGTGTATTCTGATGCACGTTAACCCGACATGATGCCCTGTTGGATCCAGCAGCTCAAACAAGTTCTAGGAGTTCTTGAATGCACGCCTCCCTTTGAGAGTTGTGCGTGGTGGCAGAGCGAGGGCACTGACAGTCCCACGTTGGGACTCCTAGATTCTTTCCCTTCTCCCGTTAGCATCCTGTGGCGGAGATTTTGGTGTGGAGGGAGGCACTCTGGCGGGGTGACCTTGGGCTGGCCACTTTACTGTCTGGGCCTCAGTGCCCCCATTGCGACACGCGGCTAACCTTAGGCCACACTCCTCGAACAGCTGAGCACTGTCTGTCGTCACCAGCAAGGTGCCTGGCGTGCAGCGTTAGTTCTCTTTCCTTCCGCCCTCCTTCCCACCCTGGATCGCCAGTCGCTTCCCCTGGCCTCACTTTCCTCGCCTGTCAAGCGGTAGTAATGTTGCAGGCACCCCGACGGGACTTCCCTAAGATTAGAGAGACAGGCAGACAGACAGCCTGGCTGGAGGCCGTGCACCTGCTGGCAGAGCTGAGCCCGGGGCCTCTCTGACCTTTCCCTTATTGTCTCTCAGGCAGCCCCTGGAATTTCGCCTTCACAGTCAAGTTCTATCCCCCTGACCCTGCGCAGCTGACAGAAGACATCACGAGGTGAGGGCCGTGGAGGGAGGGGTGCGGCAGGTGACGCGGGCTGTGTGTGGCAGCTGTTGCAGCCGGCGCAGGAAAGACAGGGCCTCAAACACGGTGCTCCGTGGCCGCTGGCCTCTGCCTCCAGAGGAGGAGCTACCACAGGGCACCGTGGGGCCCACTGGGAATTTAAGAGGACAGCTGCCATGGAGAGTGGGTGCTGTTCCCTTGTGGGAACCGGGCCTGACGGGGAAGTGAGTGGGAGCCTGGAAAGTGGAAACCACATTTTGTAAGCGTCGGCAACTGCAGCAAATGCTTTAAAAAACCGGGCAGGCCATTCTGGGTGGGGCCGACCAACCACATGTGAAGGCCGCGTGCTGCTGGCCCCCAGGCGTCTAAGGACGGAGTAGGGGGCGGATGCCTTTGCAGGTGGGAGTTAGGGCCTGTGTGCCGTTCCGTGCAGGCATCAGGCACGCAGGGGTCAGGTGAGGCCTGGGGCTGCCCCGCACCCTGGCTGCTGGGGTGGACACGGGTCATGTGGATAGCCCCCTTGTGCCTGGGGCCAGCAGATCACACAGCTTGAAGACTGGAGGGGAGGACAAAGCGTCCTTTAGCATGGGAGCTGCCGAGGGGCTCCTGCTGCCTCTGGAAACCAAGGAGGTCCCTCCCTATCGACAGTTACACTTCCTGGTGTCCTGATAAGATGGAGGCCTGAGCTGCTCCCCCGGCAAGGGGCGGGCCACCCAGCCAGCCTCTTCTCCCCGTGGGATTCCTCCTCCACATTGGCGGCTCGTGGGCCAGGCGACAGACTGAGGTCCAGATGCCAGCTCTGGCCTAGAGAGGTAGCACAGATGTTCCTGGAATAGGAACATCTGTGGAGACCGCTGAGGTCAGCCGGGGGCTGGGTGGCTGCAGCGGCAGAACCCGAACACCGATCCCGAGAGGCCCGCGAGCTTCAGCTCCTCTGGTCTTGCTCACTGGTGCCTCTCTCACTGGTGCCAGACCCTGGACATCAGGCTCCCAGGGACCCCAGGAGGCAAGTGAGCCCTGCCCAGTACAAATGTCCCCAGGAGATGAGGTGGTAGTAGCAGCTGATTTGGTCAAAAATAGTCAGGCCCAAAATAAACTGGTCAAAATGACAAATTGGTTGAAATGAGAGATTGGTCGGAGTGTTTGGCAGTGATTTCTGGATTTTCAGGCTTCTGAGTAAAATGCCCTTAACCAGGCTCTTGCCTGTGATTTCTGAACGACGGCTGGGTGGGGGCCGGAGCCTGGCCCTGAGCAGACTCTGAGGCTGCACCAGGCCTTCCGTTCTCGCTGCTGGATCGTGTCGTGGGGCAGTAGAAATCGTGCTAAGGAAAAAGCGCTTAAAAGGAAAAGAAATAGGCAATTAAAAGATGGAGAAACATAGCAAAAATGGGCAGGGACGCATCACTGGTTGAAAATGAAGTGAAACATTGTATTCTTTTAATACACAATAACCGACAAAGCAACACAAAATGGTTTTAAATGGTTCTAAAAATTGTAAAAGCATTCAAGTGTGCATAAAAGTTGTAAAAAATCTTGGGCTGGTGGTTGGAAATGTCTCTTTAAACCAATTTGTTTTTAGACAATTCACTTAAGAGCTGAAAGCAAAAATACAAGTTTGGGGGAAGCTTCAGCGAGCAGCCCATCGGTTAAAATGAATGGGGGAGAGCCGCGCACGCTGCCGCGAGGACGGCTCTCAGGCCCTGCGCCCGCTGTGACAAATGACAAAGCGAGCTGCCGAGTCAGAGGTGGCATTCGAGGCCCTCTGCGTGTTAAAAATGTCCGCGGATCAAAACCACGTGTGTCCTGAGTGTCCACGGAGGAGTCCTCTGGATAGGGTTGAGGATGGGCGTCGAGGGGGTGTTCTTTGTTCCATAACGTGAACACGTTAGTTCTATAATCAGAGCATGGTTGCATGGTTGCTTTAAATACGACTTTAGGTTTTGCCTTTTGCCATCAATGTATTCAATATTTTTCTTTCGAGAGGCAGAGAGACCAGAATTCCCATCTTCTGGTTCACTACCCAAACACCCACAGTGGCCCCCAGCTGGCGTCAACGCCGTCAGGAACACAGTGCAGGTGTCCTACGTGGGTGGCAGGAACCCCGTCCCTGGAGCCGTCACTACTGCCTCCCAGGTCTGCATCAGCAGGAAGCTGGAGTTGGCACTGGAGCTGGGATTTGAACCCAGGCACTCCCATATGGGGCACGTGTGTCCTAACCAGCGGCCTGACCCCCAGGCCAAATACCCACCCCACGTGACATTTTTTAATTGGCCAAATCAGCAAAATAGTCCTATTTATCTTTTTTTTTTTTTTTTGACAGGCAGAGTGGACAGTGAGAGAGAGAGACAGAGAGAAAGGTCTTCCTTTTCCGTTGGTTCACCCTCCAATGGCCGCCGCGGCCGGTGTGCTGCGGCCGGCGCACCGCGCTGATCCGATGGCAGGAGCCAGGAGCCAGGTGCTTTTCCTGGTCTCCCATGGGGTGCAGGGCCCAAGCACCTGGGCCATCCTCCACTGCACTCCCTGGCCACAGCAGAGAGCTGGCCTGGAAGAGGGGCAACTGGGACAGAATCCGGCGCCCCGACCGGGACTAGAACCCGGTGTGCCGGCGCCGCTAGGCGGAGGATTAGCCTAGTGAGCCGTGGCGCCAGCCATAGTCCTATTTATCTTAAAAAAAAAAAAAAAAAAAAAAGAAATCACAATGTTCTCATAGTAGGACAAAGAATCCCCCAAATTTAGAAATGAACGGCAATGCTGAAAGTCCTGTGAAACGTCACACAGAATTATCAAGACGTTAAATGCCAGTGTCACAGAGCACCTCAGGGGATACACTCAGGTTCCCAAGACAGCAAAGAGCACGCTCTCCTGTGGAGCCGTGTGCTGCCCCCTTGCTCCCGCCAGACCAGCGGTGCTGGGGGACGCCGAGGGCCCATGCCCACGCCCGCTCTCCCTGTCCCCAGGTACTACCTGTGCCTGCAGCTGCGGGCAGACATCATCACAGGCCGGCTGCCCTGCTCCTTCGTCACACACGCCCTGCTGGGCTCCTACGCCGTGCAGGCTGAGCTGGGAGACTATGACGCCGAGGAGCACGTGGGTAACTATGTCAGCGAGCTCCGCTTCGCCCCGAACCAGACCCGGGAGCTGGAGGAGAGGATCATGGAGCTGCACAAGACGTACAGGTGAGAGGGCGCCGGCCAGGCCTCTGCCTCCACGCCGGCTGGCCTGAGCCTCGCTTGTGGCCTGGAGCTCCCCGGCCCCTGCCTGCCTGCCGTGCCCTGCGTGCCCTGCCGTGCCCTGCCGTGCGCACACACGCGCACCATCCCCTCAGCTCTGCCCCTCTTCCGGGCATGTCTGAGTGCAGATCGCCTCTGTGACCACGTGACGCTGGAGGACCTCGTGACCCTCGGCTCAGCTTAAGCTGCTGTGTGTGTGTGTGACAATTCTCTGCCCATGGTCCCTGGGAGTGAGTTTCTTTATCTAGGTTTTGGTGTAAAGGTCAAAGGTTAGGTCCTAAAAGCCAGTCTGCTTAGGGTCATCTTCTGACCGGGCCACTGTTTTGTTTTTTTTTTTTTTTTAGAGATTTATTTATTTGAAAGTCAGAGTTACTCAGAGAGAGGTGAGGCAAGTCCTCCATCTGCTGGTTCGCTCCCCAAGTGGCTGCAACAGCCAGGGCTGGGCCGGTCCAAAGCCAGGAGCCAGGAGCTCTGGGGTTGCAGCTGAGAGGAGGGCTAGGGCTGGGTGTGAAGCAGGGGCCTGCCACCATATCAGGCCACCGGAATTATTTGCTCTGGCCCTGCCAAGGCAACTGGAGGTGGAACTCAAAATTCAATAAATCTGTAGCCAGCTCATTTTAGGCTGATAGTTTTGTGTGGCTGGCGAATGATACCCTATGGCCCCTGGCAGAACGAAGGTTCCCCACCCTTGACGTGGAGGATCACCTACAGGGGGAAGACCCTGCTGGGTATGAGGAATGCTAGGTGCAGGGTGGCTCTGCTTGGTTAATAGGGACGGCTGTGGTGCTGTGCCGAGTGCCCTACAGCTGGCTAGTGGTGTCTTCCTGGGTGTAGGAGTCGGGGGTTGCCTGCCTGCTCCCTGTCTGTCACCCCTATCCTAGATAGAAAGATGTCTTAGGGGCCTGCAGGGGTCACAGTGATTCAGAGAAAGGTGTTGAGATCATATGGGCTGCAGAAATAGCAATGGCTGTCCCCACAGCTCTTTGGACTTAAAACACATTGGCAGCTGGTGTTCAGGTGGCCCACAGAGCAGCTCAGAGGTGCACAGGGCCGGGGAAGCTGAGGCCAGAGATGGAATGGAGCGGCTCGGAGCACAAACTCCAGGGCCATGTTAGCTAGAGCCAGATTCTCACCCTTCTGCTTAATACCTGTGTGCTCTTGGGCTGGTCATTGAACCTCGCTGTGCCACAGGCTCCTCACCTGTAAAATGGGAACAATAACGATATATACCTTGTAGAGCTGTTAGGAGAGCCCCGTGAGCTGACACCTGCAAGGTGGAACAGGAAGGAGCAGTAGTCAGCGCTAGTTCTCAGCGCTGTTGGCCGTGACTGACAGGATGAGAGGTCGCCCAAGCTCCCTGGCAGCCGAAGCAAGGAAGGAACCTGATTAATTGCATAATTCTTCTTTTTGGAAAGGAGACTGTGTCCCTGATCCTCAGCGAGATTAAGTGGCTTCTGTTGCTAAATTCTGAGCGAACCATCTGATGTGGGTAATAATTTAGGAGTCCCTGGGTGACTATCATGAATGATGTCTTCAACAACGGCTTCGCAGTCAAGGAGAAGCAAAATTTATAGTTCACACTTAGCTCAGTGGCAGAGGGAGGCGAAGGTCCCGACACCCAGCCCAGCCTTGAATGCATCCTGGAGAAGGCCAGACTGGGCCTGAGCTTTGGCAGACGACAAGGGTGGGCAGAGTGAGGTGGGGCCAGTGCAGAGCACAGAGCACAGAGGGGATGGGCGTGTTCAGGTTTGCCCTTCCCACAGTCACGTGTTATGCATGGCCACCTTTGGCCAGCAGGACTTGGGCCTGGGCCTTCCCACGCCACTGTGATCCCTTTCTTTCCCTCAGGGGCATGACCCCGGGAGAGGCGGAAATTCACTTCCTAGAGAACGCGAAGAAGCTTTCCATGTACGGCGTAGATCTGCACCACGCCAAGGTACCGCTGGGCCCCGGGGACCCCCAAGCCGCTGGGTGGCGCCCTGCGGTGGGCTTCCAGGCCTCGGCAGTGGGCTCGGGGCACCAGACCCTGTCACCTTCAGCCTAGCAGCCACCCTGTTCTCAGTTCTCATCGTCCAGGCCCCATAGCCTCTCATTTTCCCATAGTCCTTGTCGCTTCCTTCCTTATGAACTTGTGTGTGCCACCACTAGGTTGGCAGCACAGGAGGAAGGGACATAGCTGTCTCCCTAGCATGTAGGCATGGCCTGGCACCAGCAGGTACCCCTAGAGTTCTGCTGGGCGGGTGAGTGAGCGAATGACAGAACGAGTGATCGAATGAGTGACTAAGTGGGTGGGTAAATGAGTGCGCGTGTGGCTGTGTGAGGGATTGGTCAGTGGGCTGAAGCGTGGAAGCCCTGACCCTTGCATTCCTAACAGGAGGAGGTCAGGCAGAGGGTTCGGGGCTGGGGGACCGGCAGCCCCTGGTGTGGACCCCAGGCCTCCCGTCCCGTGGTCTCCTCTCATGCAGGACTCCGAAGGCATCGACATCATGCTGGGGGTCTGTGCTAACGGCCTTCTCATCTACCGGGACCGGCTGAGAATCAACCGCTTTGCCTGGCCCAAGATCCTCAAGATCTCGTACAAGAGGAGTAACTTCTACATCAAGATCCGGCCGGGGGAGGTGAGCCGGCCCTGGACCTCGTCACCAGGAGGAAGCAGACTCTGGCAGCTGGGCCTGGGGCGTCTTCCACCTAGAATATGAGGCTGGGGACTCTGGGGCTCCCAGAGCACACACACGCGTGCACACGTGTGCACACACTCACAAAAGTGTAACTAGAAGGATAGCATCTAGTCAAGTGCCACTGGTAAACGAGTCCGTGTGGTGTCCCTGTGTGTGCTTACATGGAGAACCAGACACGTGACCCATCCACGCATGTACAGAAACGTGTGCCTCCACCTCTTTTCCTCCAAACTCCACATCACCCCCACCAGAAAGCCCACTTGGTTCTGCCCGTAGCATAAATGGGACCCATCGGCTTCTCTTCCTCACCCCTGTACCGGCCACAGCCGCCACCGTCGCTTACCCATGTCTCTCCAAGGCCCTTCTCACCAGTCTCCCGCCTCCACGGTCACTCCAGGACACTTTCCCCAGAGGTCTTAAGTCTCTGAAGTCAGAGCACATCAACCCCGTCCCCACCCCACCACCCTCCACCCCGCGCTCTTGAGCTCCCGGGAGGAATCCGCACTCCTTGCGTGGCCACCCTGCCCCTCCCACCTGTCTTGCCACTCCAACCCCTCTGGCCACCTGGGAGACCTTGAAGAAGCCAGGTTCTCTCCTGCTGTGAGTGCTTTGCCTTTGCTGCTGCCTCTCCCTGGAAGTCTCAACCCCGTCCCCCACGCGGCTGGTTCCTTCCCCACCCTTCCGTTCTCAGCTCAGCCATCGCCTGAGATGTCCAGAGAGCAGCCCCTGACCATCCTTTCTAAGGTAGCCCCAGCCGAGCCTGCCGCACGGTCCCTCCCGCCCCTGTCAATATCTGGCATCATCTTGTTGGCTCGGATTCCGACACGCCTCTCCCCAGGATCTAACGTCTTGGGTCTCCGTGGAGACAGAGTAAGGACGAGGTCAGCCTGACTACTGGCATGAGAGAATAGGTCACAGTCGGGCGAGTCTCGGTTCAGAGAGGACGGACTGATGGCCGGAGAGGGCCCGGGCCCTGCCTCTGAGCTGCCTTTTTGCTTTCCAGTATGAGCAGTTTGAGAGCACAATTGGCTTTAAGCTGCCAAACCACCGGTCGGCCAAGAGACTGTGGAAGGTCTGCATCGAGCATCACACGTTCTTCCGGTGAGCTGGCCCTGGGAGGAGGGGTGGAGGAGGAGTTGGTGGGGATTCTGGGAAAGTCTCCCCCGCTCAACATCGCCCCCTTGAGGTGCTGTAGCTGGGATGTCGGGGGATGAGAAGCTGGTTCTGGGGCCCTCCCTCCTCACCTCCACCTCACTGCTGCAGGCTGGTGTCCCCGGAGCCCCCGCCCAAGGGCTTCCTGGTGATGGGCTCCAAGTTCCGGTATAGCGGGAGGACCCAGGCCCAGACCCGCCAGGCCAGTGCCCTCATCGACCGGCCCGCACCCTTCTTCGAGCGTTCTTCCAGCAAACGGTACACCATGTCCCGCAGCCTTGACGGAGGTGAGTCCCAAACTGGCGGTGAGGGGAAGAGGGCGCGCTAGAGGAGGTGGTGGAGTAGGCAAGTCAGGACCTCAGGGCGAGCCAGGAAGGTGGGGGCACACTGCAGGTGCGTCGTCGCCGGGCATGACTGCTCATGGTGGCCCAGCTCCAGCCCACGGGGGTGCCTCTGGGGATGTCACGCCTCTCTCTGGACTTCCGGTGACTCCTCTCAGTCACGGCCGTCTGATGGCCTTGGCTCAGCCTGGCGGATTTCTGGGCCCCCTGCTTCGGCAGTTTAGCAATCCCCAGGTTACCGTCATCCCAGGAGAGTGGAGACTGTTCCTGGTCATTCTTTTGGGCTCTGGCTGATTGATAGTGGCTGACTATGGCCCCCGCGTCTACTGGAGTGACAGGTGCCCATCACGCCAGTGAGAACTGGCCTCATGTTGTCCTATGTCCCTCAGGCTGGCGCTTGGTAAAAATATCATCTTTAGACCACATGTGCGTCTGAGTCACCTGTGAGGTTGTACAACATGAAGGTTCCCCAGGCTGTGCCCCGGACCTACTAACTCCACACCTCTCTGGACTCAGGCCTCGCCTCGGGGCATGCGTGCTGGGGTCATAGGTGATCTTCCAGAGCCACGTGGGGTGCTGGGGAGATTCAGATTAGACCGAAGTTCAGGTCTTGGCCTTGACACTTATCAGCTACTCCAAGTGCCCAGGGAGAGGGCCACAAACGTGTGAGTGACTGGACGGGTGACCTTGGGCAACTTTTTTAACTCACCTGTGCCTTCCTTTCTTGAAAAGGAACAATATCCACTTCGCTGTGCTAGAGGGAGAATTAGCAGAGAAAGGGCCCAGGAAACACAGGCAGAGTCAGGCCTTCGTGAGTTGTGTGCGTTATTATTGCTCTTAGGTGTATAGAGTGGGAGGTTGGGACTTGGATAGGGGAATGGCGGATACTTCTAGAACATAGTTAGCAGGCCTCAAGGAAGTTAGTTCTGCTCAACATATATTTTCTGAGTGCTATACTTGTGCCGGGCCTCGTGTTCGGTCCTGGTACAGAGTTGGCTCTTTCCTTTGAGGAGCTCCCAGCGTGCTGGCCGTGAGCATTCGGTGTGGTGGCAGCTACAGGTGAAGCCTGCACAGGACGCAGAGCGGCCCCAGCAGGGATGAATCAGCTCTGCCTGGAGGGGGGAGAAAGGGCTTTGCAGAGGGGGTGACAACTGGACAGGGCTTTGACGGATACCTAGGAGTTTGCCGGGTGATATTTTAAACAATTTTTATTCCATACACACACACACACACACGCACGCCCCACACAGATCCCAATCCCTTGGTTTATTCCTCAAATGGCCACAACGCCAGGGCCGGGCGAGGGTTGGAGCCAGGAGTGTATTCCAGCTCTGCCATGTGGCTGGGAGGAAGAAGCCAGTTTACTCGGGTGGTCACTGCTGCCGCCCCGGGGCTGGAACCAGGCGCTCTGATGCGGGACACAGGCGTCTCAACTGCCAGACCGAACGCCTGCTCCCCAGCGTCTGCTCCTTTTCCTGGAGAGTGAAAGTAAAGCCTGCCCCAGGACTCCCGTCCACGTTTAAGGCTGTGGGGTCTGCGGAGCTCTCCTTGGCCTGAAGAAGGTCCTTATGCCGCTTGGTAGATGCAGCACTAGGAACTGTGGTTTGTGCAACAGAAAAGGAGAACTGTACCATCATTCGCTCCCTGCCCTGTCGCTTCTGATTACTGTGCGGGGGCCAGGGAAGCGCAGTGTCCGGGGCTGCAGCTGAGGTTAACGCAGGGCTGGTGTGGCTGTCAGGGCGGGTGGAGCTTAGCGTCCAAGCCAGGAGGTCAGGGCCCTTGTCAGATCTTTCCCCTCTTCAGGCCTCAACTTATCCTCTGTAAAGTGGGGATAGTAATTCCAGTTCTGACCATCAACTGCAGTATTGTTGAGTCAGATGAAGTAATGTACGTAAACGGGAATATATGTGACTAGAAAAGGATAATGACGTTATTTTTTAAATCTAGGCCAGCCCCAAGGACAATCTGTGCTCTGGTCATTTTTCTAAGTTGAATGATTGATTGATAAGGCCGGTTGGCAGAGAGTGAGCGAGTGAATGAGAGAGCTTTCTCATCTGTTGGTTCAATCCTCCAAGTATCTCACAATAGCTGGGGCTGGGCCAAGCAGAAGCCAGGAGCTAGGAACTCCCTCCTGGTCCCCCACATGGGTGGCACGGGCCCAGGGACTTGAGCCGTCCTCTGCTGCCTCTGGGGTGTGCGTTAGCAGGAAGCTGGACTGGAAGTAGAGGCTGGACTTCACCCCAGCACTCCCATGTGGAGTGCAGGCGTCCCAAGCGATGGCTCGCCCTGCTGTGCTGCAGGCCCGCCCCTGTGCTCCGGTGGTGTGTTTTCAGAATTTGGTGCTTTGCAGCCCATTTTCCACCAAGGTACAATTCACAGCGCAGGGGGAAGTCTGCAGTTCGACCCCTTTCTTTCCTATTTAGAAGAGTAGTTTGGAATGCCAGCGAGTGAGAACGATGTTATTACAGGAATGCCCTGAACCCTCCCTAACGTATAAAGGAGGCCAGCCATTCGCGAACGCGAGGTCGCTGGTCTCAGAACACGTGTGTATTGCTGTGCGGTGATCAGGCGTGTGTTCAGCAGTGTTTCTGGCCAACATCAGCAGAAGGCTCGCTCTGGGCCGGCTGCTCCAGTGCGTGCTCACACACGTTTTTAGACCCTGCCTATCGATTGGGAAGCGGGGCCCAGAGAGATTGGGCGACCTTCCAAGGTCACGCCCTCGGGAAGAGCTGGATGCGAGGCTCTCGTGCTGTGGGAGGCCGGGGGTGGGGGTGGGGCCTGGGCTGGGAGGCAGCTCTGCCGCCCCTGGGGGACCTGGGCTGGGCCCCTTCGCTTCTCCGGGCAGTGGGTTGGCACTGACAGAATCGGGCCTGAACTCCCGCTGGCGGCGGTGGGGCTGCTCCCTGTCCATGTGCACGGCGACGTCCCACAGTCTTCCGGCCATGTCTGCCCACTTTAGCAGAGTTCTCACGCCCAGCCTCGGTCAGCGAGAACCACGACACAGGCCCTGACGGGACTAAGCGTGAGGAGGACGGCGAGTCTGCAGGGCGGCGGTCCGAGGCCGAGGAAGGGGAGGTCAGGACCCCCACCAAGATCAAGGAGCTGAAGGTAGGTGCCTGGCTTTCTCTGGGGGTCAGGAGGCCAGCCTGGGGTCTGGTCAGCCTGGACCGTGGCCTTCACATCCCCCAGCTATGGCCCAGCTCCTCTCAGCCCTTGTGGGGTGGGAGTGGGAGGGGTGGGAGTGCTGCCCACCTGTACTCTTCCTCCTTTTTGCCTGGCTCTCCCAGGGGGCTGCTCTCATCCTGGATTTGCCCCTTTGGCTGTGGTCTGAATCACCCCCTCCCTCGCCAAAGCATAGGCAGGTGTCCCCCAGGCTGCTCACGGTGTGAGGTACAAGTGTGCCCCAGCCTCCTTTCAGGTCCACACCCCCCTGCCCAGTGTCCCTGGCTCCTGCAGCTCCCCCAGCCTCACGTGCATTCACTCACATTGTGTGCACTGCACCCCTCGCCCTTCGACTCATGCACACGGATGTGCGGCAACACGCATGTGCACACACAGGCCAGCTGCTAGGGCTTCCTCTTCTAGAGATGTTAAGCAGTTTCCTCCCATCAGGCACCTCCGCCTTGTAAGCACAGGCTCCCAAACACACAGTCACTGCAGCAAGAAGCACAAGACCCCGGCACACCCACCGCACATCATCTGCAGAGTGCGGCTCCTCCCACTTGGCCTCCGGTCCCCAGCCCCCTCTTTGCCTTCCCAGGACAGCTCCCTGCTTCCCACCCCACACCTTCCGTGGCGCTCTCGCTGCCCTGCTGGCGGCCCCGCTGCCTGACTGGGTGTGATGCAGTGGCTGCCCTGCTGTGCCAGGCCGGTCGTGCCGGTCGTGGTATCTCTAATCCGTTTGCTCTACTGACCCTGCTGGTTGCTTTCCCTCCTTCCGCATCTGCTAGCCGGAGCAGGAAACCACGCCGAGACACAAGCAGGAGGTACTGCACGGGGCCCGCCCCTCCCTTCCCAGCCATCAAGTCCCCCGTTCATTTGTCACCACGCCACAGCCCATCACCAGCACCATCGCAGCTTCGGCTTGTCTCTGCTCCCTGGCCAGCCCCCTCCCCATCACCCTTGCTCCACCCACCTCTCTTCCTCCTCACCTGTCTGCCTCCCTCTTTCTCACCCCAGCCGGCTCTTCCTGCCTCGCCGCGTGCCCCTCCAGACCCCTGGCAATCCACGTTTGCATCTCCCGTGCTGACCATCTTACCTGTGTCCACCTGTGTCCACCAACCCTTCTAGGCCATTCTGTGTTTCCATTTACTCATCTCCCTGCCTCCCCCCGACCTTGCTTAATGTCCCTCCTCCCCAGGCACTGTGGTCCCGCCTCCATCTCATCTGTGTCCCTTGTCCTCACCCCAAGCTTCTTCATCTCTCTTGGCAGCCAGATGTGGGAGTGGGGGCTGGGGGAGGGCAGTGCGCTCAGGGCACATCGGTGTCTGCCGAGGCTCTGGCTCCACTCCTGCCCGGGTGGGGCTGCGTCAGAAGCCGCCTCTCCCGTTCTCGTTTCTTGCTCGTCCTCTTCCCGTTCGTTGCTCCCTGCAACTCAGTCCACCTGTGTTTGCTGCCTCTCCGCCCCTCTCACCTTAACTGCAGAGACGTGGGTTATTCTTGGGCAGCCAGAGACTGGGCCATAAGAAGGGCCTGGCCTTGTAGTTCCAGGATCTGAGTGTCAGCCCCAGTTCTGCCCTTGACCCTTCAAGGGTCTTGGGAAAGCCCCCAGGCCTCAGTTCCCCCTCTGCAGAGCAGGCCTGGGGACTGGTTTTCTCCGAGGCCCTTAACCTTTAAGGATTCCTGGAGTCCCACCGCCCCCGTGTGGCCATGGCGGGTATGATGCACCCTCAGAGCTGGTAGGGCAGGGTTGGGATGGAAGACCCCAGGCCGCATCTCGGCTGGGATCACGAACAGTTGCAGCTCCAGCTAGTCCTTGCACAGTCTCCATTGCATCTGACTTGAGGGACAGGCAGTGTCCTACAGGCCGCTGAGCCCGGGACGGGGTGCCAGAGGTGCAGACAGATGTCTGTAGGGAAGCAGAGGCCCCAGTGGGATCCATCTCCACCGGGGGTAGCTTAGCAGTCTGCTGTGGATGCTGGAGGTGAGCCCGGGAGAAGGTTCTAGATGTTTTTCTCAGAACCACCTGACGTGACTTGAGTGAGGGTCGTCTGTTCCTTGTCCTGAAGCAAGTTAACGTGAGTCCTAACAGCCTTGCAGACAGCGGTCCTGCGGCTGCTGGCCCAGCCTTGGCAGCACCCCACCCAGGCAGATCACTCCCTGATCACAGACTCAGTGGGTTAATGGGGGCGGGGGACGCAGCTGTGACTCCAGCCATCCTTGGCCCAGTCCTTGTGCCCGACCTCGGTCTACAGTTCTCATCTTCCTGAACGCCCCACAGGTTCCTAGTGTGTCTGTCGGCTGTAGCACCCATCTGCTCTTGGTGACTCACTGCCGGGAAGGTGTCTGCAAGATCCTGGGTGACTAGGGTGGAAGCAGCTCCCGGAGGACAAGGCTGAGCTGTCTTCCTGGTCCCCGGTCCCTAGTGAGGGAGCAGGGGCTGTTTTCTGGGACAGCCTAGACTTTAGGAGTCTCTGCACTCTAGGCCTCCATGGGGCCTTGAGCAGTCACGTGTGTTGGGCTCAGAGGGGCCTGGACTGGACGCCCTGCCCAGCCCAGTGTTCCAAGGTAGGGCCGGGATCCGGGAATGACGAGGGAGGCCAGTGAGTGAGCTAGAGCAGCCCAGTGACCAGGACCAGTGAGTCCTCACTCGGGCAGGAGCCACCTGCTGGGCCTTGGTCGTAACCACAGGAGGGCACTGCCATGCTCCACTGAGCTCGCAGCTCCCAAGGGAACTCACTCAGACTGGTGGAGCTGGGTGTTCCGAGCCCAGGACGAAGAAAAGGTGACTTGGCCAGAAGTCTTCCTTCTCATCCTAAGTGCTCCTGTCCCGGTCTGTGCACCTGTCAGGGGTGCTCTTCCTGGCCTCCCAGCCCCGGGGCTGCCGGGTGAGGCAGGGGCTGTTGGTGGAGGTTGGCGAGGCCACTGCCGTCATCACCCCTGCATGCTGCATCCCCTGCTGGGAGCTGACCCCCTAACCCCTGCCCTGTCCGCCACCCCCAGTTCCTGGACAAGCCGGAGGACGTGTTGCTGAAGCACCAGGCCAGCATCAATGAGCTCAAGAGGACCCTGAAGGAGCCCAACAGCAAACTGATCCACCGGGACCGGGACTGGGAGCGGGAGCGCAGGCTGCCCTCCTCGCCTGCCTCCCCCTCCCCCAAGGGCACCCCTGAGAAAGCCGGTGAGGTAGGTCTCACCCTGGACCCCTGCACAGACGCCTTGGGCGGGGGGGGGGTGGGGGTGGCGCTATGTACTGATTTATACTCATCCTCCACACCAGCACATTTAACCCCTTGCTGTCCTAGGGGCTGGTGGGTTGGGCTTAGGGAGACATGTTCTCTAAATCTTGGAATCCTGGGTCCCAGGACTCACCTTGAAGGGTGAAGAATTCCAGAGACTCAAGGTAGCGCGGTGGCCTCACCCCGGCGGCCCGCTGAGTCCAGTGTCTGGAGGCAGGACCCAGAGTCAGCAGTTGGAACAAGTGCCCCGGGCGATTCTCGTGCACACCACGTTGTGAGAATCCTTGTGGCACTGTTTAGCAGCCAGCCCTCTGTGTGTGCTTACTATGCACACACAGATAGAGGACTGATTCCTTCCGGCAATGTTCCCAGAGCCCTTTACAGGGGCCCAGGGCCAGACCTGCTCCCGTGACCTCAGACAAGGACCCCATACGACTTGCCTTTTGGAATGGAAAGCGTGGGGGCACTTTCTTAGTTGAAAAAACAGACCAGGATAGAATTGGGGGAATTCTGGTATTTGTAATCCCCAGCACTTGCTAAATCTTGGCAATATTCACCCCAGTTTATACTTGGGTGTTTTCTCTCTGGAGCTGTTACATACGGGTCTTGAATCTGATCGTGGTCTAGTCTTACATCACCTGGGTTTGAGTTCTGGCTGCACTGGCTGCTGGCTGGGTGACTGGGCTTGCCACTTAATGCCCAGTAGGTGGAGACAATGAGCACCTGCTTCCTAGGGAAGCACCTCCAAGTGCAACATGAGTTCCTGTTTGTTTCGTTGTGAGAGTCTAGGGCTCACTCACAGAGGCTAACTTCACGTCCAAGTTGGAAGGACCCTTGGGACACTCTTGGTTCAGGGTCCTCATCTGACAGACAGAAGCACAGATCCATGATGAGGAAGGACTTGGTCAGATTACAGGCTGACAAACAAGCAGGGCCTCGGAGCAAGACCGAATCCTGTGAGGACCTGGTGCAGGGCCCACCGTGTGTGGGCTGCCCTCTAATGCTTTGAAACTTGCTGATGCCTTCACTGTGTTGTTAGCAGGGCACTTGATTGGATCAGTCCTGCCTGGAGCTGCTGGATAGTGGAGGACCTTGGCCCACAGAGCCACAGACCCAGAGAAGGCTCCTGGGGTAGCTCCCTGGCTGGTGACGCATGGAATTGAGAGTGCTTTGGGGACCTCGAGACTGGTGCCATGGGAGGAGGGCAAACCTCTGCATCTACTCAGGACTTCTCATGCAATCAGGACCTGGGCCGGGCCGCAGGGACTGTCTCGTGATCCAGTGGATGCACCCCCTTTCTGCCCCACCTCCTGCCCCGGAGATGGACTTGACCAGAGTGGCCTCTAGACAGTCCTGGCTGGGGGTGAGGCAGGGCATAGAGGCTACCAGAAGGGGGTCAGCCTCCAGAAAGAAGGGAAAGCTGGGCCCTGGTGTGCGGGGGGGCAGGGGGGGGGGCCTGGAGCCTGGCCTGGTCTCAGAGCAGCCTGGCTTGAGAGTGTGCCCCACCTGCTGGTGACGGATGGAACTGCTAGGAGACTGATGGACACTGGAATCCCTCCGCCCAGCACCAGCTTTGTGGGGGCCTCTGGCCAGGAGTGTCATCCAGGTTTCCTAGTGGCTTCCTCAGCAGTTGTTGGGCCCCTTGGGGCCAAGAGGGAAACAGTGGAAGCTTTAGCTGTTCCCATTTGCCAAACCCACATTTTAATTCCTAAGATAACTGTTTGTTTATTTCTTATTTATTATAATTTGAGAGACACACAGGACTCCCATCTGCCGGTTCATTTCCCAAATGCCAGCGATAGTTCAGGCTGGGCCAAACTGAATCCTGGAGCCAGGAAGTCAACCTAGGTGTCCCATGTGGGTGCAGGTCCCCAGCCACTTGAGCCATCGTCTGCTGCCTCCCAGAGTGCACCTCAACTGGAAGCTGGAATTGGGAGTGGAGCTGGGTCTTGAACCCAGGCACCTCAATGGGGGCGCAGGCATCCCAAGTGGTGTCGTCCCCGACAGGCCAAACTCCTGCTCTGAAATAACTTTTTTAAAGTGGCTGTGTCACTCCAAATGCAGAATGGAGCTGTGGCCTAAGCCAAAGACGCCCAGGGACGACTTGGAGTCAGAGTCGGGGTGGTACGGCTCTAGCAGTTCCTGAGAGAGAGTGGGCAGGCGGCGAGCCAGGCCCCGTGGGCGCAGTGCTGACTGGCAGCTGACTGGGGCCTCCCTCCTGCCCTGCTCACAAGGGTGTCCTCCCTGCGTCGCTGTGCGGAGGCTCCTCCCCGACCTAGCCCACCCCTCCCAGGGTGCAGCACTCGGGCAGTGACTTACTGACTGCGTGTGTGTCTCTCCTGCTCTCTCTCCCCCTCTCTCCTCTCTCTCCTTTCCCTCCTCCCTCTCTTCTTTCCTCTGGCCCTGGGCATCCCCTGCAGGCCCAGAGGACCCAGGACACCCCTCAGCAGGACTTGGGACCCGAGCCTGGAGCGGCCGCGGGCTGGGAAGTGTTCACTCAGAAAAGCCTCGCAGCGTCTCCTGAGGTTAACTGCCCTCCCCCTCCCGGGCCCCTCCTCCCGGGGCCCCCTGCCCACCCATCACCACCCCCTTCTGTGCTCTGAAGAGCACCCTTCCTCTGTGGTCCAGGGAATGGAGCAGACTGTAGCCCGTGTTGTCCCCAGGCCATGACAAGCAGGCGCCACATCCCAGGAAGCCATGAAGAGCCCCATCATGTCTGGCTGCAGAGGAGAGCCACACACAGCCACACACTGGCCCTGGGCCCTGGTGAGGGAGGCCGTCTCTGACCCCTCACCTTGGGGTTGGGGGTCAGGGCCCCTGTGTGCCCCCTGCCCTGAGGTCTTGTCTCTCTTCAGAAATCTAAGGGTGACCATGGCAGGTTAGGGCCTGGCTTTCCACCCCTCCCCTGCCTCCATCTTTTCTTTCTTTCTTTTATTTATTTATTTGAAAGGCAGAGTTACAGAGAAAGACATGAAGAGAGAGAGACAGGTAGAGATAGAGATAGAAATCTTCTATCCACTGGTTCATTCCCCAAATGGCCACAATGGCCAGAGCTGGGTCAAGCTGAAGCCAGGAGCCAGGAGCTTCATCCAGGTCTCCCACATGGGTGCAGGTGTCTAAGCACTTGAGCCATCCTCTACTGCTTCCCCAGGCACATTAGCAGGGAGCTGGATCGGAAGTGGAGCAGCTGGGACTCAAACCAGCACCCTTATGAGATGCCAGTATTGCAGGCGGCAGCTTAACCCGCTACTCCACAATGCCAGACCCCCTCCATCTTTTCTAAACTGCCCTGGGCCTTGGGTCTGTTGAGGCCACTGGGCAGGCAGAAGTAGACGTCCTTCTCCAAGGAGTATCTGTGGGGCTGCAGAGAGAGTAATCAGGCAGTAATCAAGACTTTGCCTCTGGGCCCAGTGTGGCAGCAGACTGAGGGCTCTGGGTGCAGGCTGCAGCCTTGCATGGGTGGTGGGCATCGAATCCAGGCCCTGGCAGCAGGGGCTGCGCCCCCTCTCTCTGGTGGGACTTCACAGGCTGTCAGATTGGATGGCGCTGATGCCCACCCCTCTGTGGGCGTGGTGCATGTGGGGGCATAGCCGTCCCTGAGAAAAGGAAAGGAAACTTCCATAGCTGCTGCAGGAGGGCCGGAACTGTGGGAAGACGTGAGCAAGCTACAGACGTGGTAAAGCGTAGATCCCGCCTCCACCCTGTGAATTTTTCCTTGCTGTAAAAATACAAACAAAACCACCAGTGCCGCGTCTTGAGGGAGGTCAGACAGGAGTCCGTGGCATCCCGAGGCTAGGATCAAAGAGACGCTGTGGAGCCCTGAGCCCCCAACACAGCCCTCTCCGGCATCCTGCAAGCCGCCGACGCCCTCTCCCACGCTGCTTCAGGCTGGGTTTCGATGCTTTTGTCTTGCGTTGAAATCTGCCCCCTCTGCGTCAGCTACCTGCCACCCTAGATCTGCACCACCTGCATCTCCAGGAATGCAGCCACCCCACCCCAGCACCCCCACCTGTACTTTCTCCCAGGGTGTGGCTTCCAGCAGGCTCCTCCCCCTGGGCCCTCCCCTCCTGGGAAGGGCAAGGTCAGCAGGACTGCCCAGCTGCAGAGTTTGGGTGGGAGCAGAGCTGGTGGAGCGCCTCTTGCTGCAGTGCCCCCAGCTGGTGGCAGGGGGCGCTCTGAGTGAGACCCGGAAGGTCCTGTGGCTCAGGGGACAGGGCGGCCAGTGGCAGGGCCGGTGCAATCGGGGGGCTGCCCTGGCGTTACCCCGTCAGGGTGCCTTTGAGACCAACCCTCACGTGGCCCCAGCAATGCACTGGTGCCGGGGACGTTTTTCTGCCTTTTGTTCAGTCCTGTTTCCCCTTCGGGGTCCTGTGTATCTGTAATCCTTGTGAGAAGCAGAATCCCTCCTGCACGCCCGACGGTCCCCCTCAGCCCCGGGAGAGCCTCAGTTTCCCCTTCTGGTAGAAGGCTGGCAATGCCTGCCTCAGGTTACCGGTCGGATTAGACGTAGCAGCTTAGACTGGCACGGAGCAACCGTCACTGCGTGCCTCCATTTCCCTCCTGCAGCAGCTTCTTTCCATCCTGTGCCGGCCCCGTCCCACCTCACTGTAGCATTGGGGCAGGAATGTTCTGGAAGGGCCTCATTGCAGGCTGATGATCGCGCTACAAGGAGGCTGCTTCCCGAGGGCGTGAGGGAGAGCGCTGGCTCCCGTGGCCTCTCAAGCACTTCGTCTGGGCAGGCTCAAGAGCTGTGGTCCTGAAGGCTTAGCAAGCGGAAGCGAAACCTCAGAACCAGGGCCGCCCCTCTCGGGACCTTCTGCCTTCCCTTGGTCTGTTTCCTTTCGGCAGGGTTCTCAGGACGAGGTCTGGTTTCCCGACAGTCTTGGAGAGTTTGATGAAAACGGGGCGGGGAGAGACTCCATCTTCAGAGTCCCTCAACCCCTGTGGGACGTGGTAGACTCTGGTAGGGTGGGATTGGCAGGGTCCTCCCCCTGAGAGGGAGCCTCAGGGTGCATAAACCATCCCCTCCTGTCGCCAGGAGCGGTTTGTGGCACATCTGGCCGTGGAGGTGGGCCTGGCCGGGGAAGCGCCCACCGCAGAACTTGGAGTCAGAGATTGGGTTCCAGGCCGCCGTGGCCGTGGCTGTGGCTTTCAGGGCCAGGGCAGCCCTGGGTTATGGTGCACGTTAGACTTCCACAAGGGTTTTTGTGGGCACAAAGTGTTTTGGCAAGACCCAGTGGCCTTCCTGCTTTGTAACGATTCCAGATGATTCTAGGAGTCTGCCGCTCCCTCCTTGGCTTCCTGTGGATGACCCCGGGGAAGCGGGGACTGGCGTCTGTGGGTGGTCTGGCAGGGCACACTCAGCTCCTTTTACCCACGGTCATACTCCCAGCTCTGGTTCCCTTCCTTCTGTGCCATGTTCTGGACAATCCTTTTCTACTCTTCCCGTGGGTGGGTGTCCTTAGAATTCTCCAAGGACAGGCCTCGGTGTTGGCTCTCTTGCATGGAGCCGCACGGCGTTCGGGCTGTGTCAGCCGTCACGGTGACTTGTGCTCGCCTGGCTGTTTGGTGTCTGCATTGCTGACCCGTCTCCTTCCACAAGTCCTATGGAAAGGTCGCCCTTGAGGCCGGGCCTGTGGCACTTTACTCAATGCTGCTCCTCAACTTGACATTGGGTCCTGGCGGGCACCCGTATCCCCTGGCCGTGAGACAGGTTAAGACCCAGGCATCCTCTCCCGGCTCGGCCATCAGCACCCGTCACCTTGGGCAAGCCAGCGACTTTCCCTGCAGTGAGGAGACCAGACCCCGTCTCACTGCAGACTCCCTGGGATGGAAGCCACTTTCCCTGCTGACAGCGACGGTTGTATTATTAGGAGCGGCCCAGTCCTGGCCCATCCTTGCATCTCCATTGCCCTGTGGCTCATGTGGGGAGGGCCCGGGACCCTATCCCCTTTTGTCCAGCTGGGGGCAGTGGTTGAGGGGAGTCACTGAACAGTTTGTTGGGACGAGAGTGACGGGCACCGTCCGACCTCCCTCTCCCCGGCCAGTTCTGGGGCTGGGCCAGACCTCGGCCCCCTCTCCAGAGGGAAAAGGGGACCCGCTGTCCAGGTGCTTGGTGTTTCACATTAACTCTTCTTGCTCCAATTGAAACACAGGGCTCAGAGCATTGGGTATTTATAGAAAGACAGTGCACTCGGCCGGAAGAGCTCGGCCTCCTCCGAGCGGCCACCACGCAGCAGGAGGACAGCGAGGTGGGCCTCGCCGACGTTCTTGCTGATGGCAGACTCTCCAAGGTGGACGTTCTGGTGGACAAGTTCAAAGTGGAAGTGGCCACAGAAGAAATGGTGGCAAGCCAAAGAGCGAACACCCAGCGACAAGGAAGGATGGTTGCAAGTCCTGAAGACTTCGAGTCCATGTGGGAGGAAGGTCGCTGGGTCAGCGAGAGCCCAGCGTGCACTGCCCCGGCCGCAGGCTGCACATTGGCAGCCCAGCTTCTCGAGGGCTGCGAGCTCAGGGCGGGCGCCCGGGAGGCAGCCGTCAGGAGCCGCTTTGTCTCTGGGGGCCGGCCGCGTGGGGGCCTGGAGGAGCTGCAGAGCTGCGGGAGGCACCGTGCCTCGGGGAGCAGCCCGGCAGAAGTGGACGCCCCCTCTCCAGCCTCCGACAAGGGAGGCCTCCAGTCGTTTCTCTTAGAACCGGCGCACTTGGAAGCCAGGGCCGACTTGAGCGATGAAACCGACACCTCCTTGGCAGAGAGGAGCTTCTATTTAAACTACGGAGAGAGAGACTTGGAAGAGCAAGGCCTCCCTCCAGCCCTGGAGGAGAGAGAAGAGCCCCCGGATGCCCCTCCTGCAGCTGAGGCCGGGCGGGAGCTGTCCGAGGGACCCCTGGCCCCGGGGGCCTCTGCTGCAGCTTCGGGTGGGAGTGAGGATGAAGCCCACACAGCTTCCTCGGAGGAGGGGGTGGCACCCCCCGAGGGCCTGAAGGAGCCTTCTGCAGGGCGGATGTTTGCTGAGGACCAGGGAGAAGCGAGGCAAGGCACAGAGAGAGAGTTTACCCACCTGGCAGCCGGTGTGGCCGAGGAGGGGGAGCCCCCCGGGAGTGGAGGTTTGATGGGAGGGCCTGAGGAAAGCCCCCCGGCAGGATGGAGGAACCGCTCCCCGCAGAGAGGAGGGGCTGGGCACCCAGACGCCCCGGCCCGCGTCCCGCAGTGGGCCGCCCCTCCTGAGGTCAGGAAGCTGGCCAGGCTGGACACAGGCGACCTACAGCTGCAAGAGAGGCGAGTGACGCAGAGCCGGCCCGGGGAGCCTGAGGCTTCCGCACCTCCTCGCAGAGAGGCCACCACCCCACCGCCAGCCTCCCCCAGGAGCTCCGAGGTTCTGGCAGCGCCGCAGGGAGCTCCTCCAAGCCCCGCCGCTCCCGGGTCCGGAGGGTCTGCAGCACTCAGGGCTCAGGCTCCAGCGTGGCTCACGAATGCCCCGGAGCCCACAGGCCTCGCTGGGTCAGCTGTGCCACCTGTCCCCAGCAGAAAGCCCCGAGTTGTCCCCGAAGAAGCAGAGGCAGCCATACCCCCGGGGCTGCAAAGGCAAGTGACCTCTTTCCAGGCTGGGGGCCAAGAGAGCTCCCTGGAAGACATCAGCAAGACCTCAGTGGCCACCAAAATTCGGATATTTGAGACCCACGGAGCTGAGCCTCGCCCGGCGCGTCAGCTTGAAGCCAGGGCCCTTCCCGGTGACCTGTCTCCAGAGGCGCCCGCAGGACAGGTGGAGCAACAGCGGAGCAAGCTCTTAGACCTGGGTCTCATCCAACTCCAGCCCCCGGGGGACTTCGCCAGCCCCAGAGCTGTGCCTTGTTCCGCCCCGCCTCTGAGCACCAGGCACGCGGGAAGTGGCACTTCTGCCAGCTCCCCCCAGGAAGCGCGCACGGAGCTCAGGCTCGTGTCCCCCGATTCAGGCTGTGGAGCTGCGCTGGAGGAAGCTCCCGGGGTAACTGGCCACGTGAGCCCCTGCCCCGCGGGGCCGACCGCATGCCCTGTAGTGCTCTAGAAAGCATGTCTCGACGGCGCCCACCATTACCGCAATCAGAGGCTGCTTATCCCCACCCCACCCCACCCCGTGAGTTCTTTTCCCCGAGCAGGCCTGAGGGTAGCCCAGGCTGAATGGTGGGTTCATCTGCTTGGCCAGGAAGACCCTCAGCTTTGGGTGCGATCCTGTGCGCAGAGGGTCGACCCCGTGGAGGAGGCAGCTCTGCCACCAGCAAATGGCCCGCTCACTTTGCCTTGCTCCGACCTGCCAGGGCCCTCCCTGTCTCGCTTGGCCTGTCCGATGGTCTTTCTTCATCCTTTCCTATCCCTGGTTCTCCTGCCCTGCGGAAGCTGACGGTCCGGAAGTCTCCATCCGTCACCTCTGCTGCCCTCGCGGTCCCGGTGCCTCCTTAAGACTAACTGTCTTCTCTAATCCAGAACAAGCCCAGAGATGCGGCCAGGGGAGAGAAGCGCCTCACCCGCCTGGCAGCCAAGGCCCCTGGCAAGGGGGCGCGCCTGGGACTCGCCAGCCCCCCGGGCCCCCAGGTCTCTGCCGTCCCTCTGCGCGTGGATGGCCCCATCGTCTCCACTGCCTTAGGTCCCCAGCTGCTCCGGCAGCGCCTCTTGCGGCTGCTCAACTCTGGCTTGTCTGGAATGTGGCCCTTGCACTTGCCAACCTCCCAGCCCCCGGAGGCTAGGCGGAGCCTCCGTTAACAAGGCAATCTCTAAGCACGCCGAATCTCTAGAACCTGGAGCTCAGTGCTTTAAGAATTCATTGTGGGTGTTATATTGGTCTTTAAAAAAAAAAAAAAATAGAGAATGTCATGAGCCAGACAAAAACGTGCGTGTGCGGTGTTAAGTCCCTGACAGGCCGGAGGAGAGGTACGTATGTCAGACAAGAGTCGCTGGTTCTCCCGAGGCACCTCCTTGTCCTGCTCTTGTCAATTACACTGATGGGACCAGAACCTCCTCCTCGCCGTGGCCTGCTCCTGGCCCACTTAGGGAGCCCGGGCTGGCACCTGTGTAGCCTCCAGCCCCCAGGATGCCGCGCCCAAAGGGCCTGACCCTGCTTTGTTCTTCCCTCTGCTCGGACGCCGGCCCCTCCCTTGGAGACTCAGTGGAATTGACAAACCGCGCTGGCTTCCTCCTCGCGCCTCAAAGCTCTTGGCCCTTGCCTCTCTGCCGTGCCCTCCTGAGTTCCCCCCAAGTTCCCGATCTCGTACCCTGGTTCGCTCCTTGGTGCCCCCTGCACGGATGGGCCCAGGGCTGGGCACCCATCGCTGCCTCCCGCACAATGCCGCTTCCGAGAGCTCCCAGCTCCGGGCCGTGCTGGAGCCTCCTGTCCAGGGCTCCCTGGCAGGACGTCCGCTTTATACCTGCTTCCGCCATCAGCGTGAGCCCTTGGCAAGGAGCACCCCAGCTCTTGAAGAGGGTTGGTTTGGGCTTGGAGCCCGTTTTGATTTCAAGGACCCTTTACCGGGGGTGTTTCTCGCTTCGTGACCTGCTCTTCCACTCGGGACCTCGGCACAGCCCTAAGATTTCTTCTCACATTCACCGTCTTGATTTCTCTCTCTCTCTCTCTCTCTCTTGCTCTTCCCCTCCCCCCACCTCCTCACCCCACTTCCCCATCCCTTTGATTTTGTCCGGCCGTAGAGAGCAGGGCTGAGGGAGGGCTCGGAGGAGAAAGTCAAACCGCCACGTCCTCGGGCCCCCGAGAGTGACACGGGCGATGAGGACCAGGACCAGGAGAGGGACGCGGTGTTTCTGAAGGACAACCACCTGGCCATTGAACGCAAGTGCTCCAGCATCACGGTCAGCTCCACGTCCAGCCTGGAGGCCGAGGTGGACTTCACGGTGATCGGCGACTACCATAGCAGCGCCTTCGAGGACTTCTCCCGCAGCCTGCCGGAGCTCGACCGAGACAAGAGCGACTCAGACACCGAGGGGCTGGTGTTCTCCCGGGACCTCAAGGGGGCCCCCAGCCAGGACGAGGAGTCTGGGGGCGCCGAGGACAGCCCTGATCGAGGGGCCTGCTCCACCCCGGAAATGCCCCAGTTTGAGGTACAGTGGAGCTTCGTCGAGACACGGGTGCACCCCGGCACTGCATGCTCAGAGGGCCCCGGGCCTCGCAGGAGAAGAGCGAGTGGCCGGCCGCAGCCTGAAGCTCCGTCCTGTGTTGCATGACGAACCCCCCCGCAGAACAGCATGGCTCTGCGCGCGCATGTGTGCCGTGTCGGTCCGCCCCTAACAAGCGCCCCTTGTCAGTCTGCCCCTAACAAGCACTCCTTGGCGTCTTGACCCCGCGGCCCCATGGCTTGCCGAGGAGGTCAAGCAATGCTAGGCAGGCTGGGCTTGTGGGACTCCTCCTCTCCCTGCCCGTGTCGCATGTCACCCGCGGAGGGCTCGTGGCTGTGCACGGCCAGCTCTGAAAGTCGAATGGTTTCTCATGATCCAAACCCAGGCTCATCTCCCTGGGGCCTGGGCTCCTGGGGCGGGGAGAGAGGGGGGAGAAGGGACAGCAGTTGAGATCCGCCTGGCCCTGGGGTCTTGGGGTGGCCGGAGACGCTCCTGTTCGGTGGGGAGGATGCAGGGGCAGCCCAAGGCCAGGCCTCTCTGCGCTGGGACCCCCGTCTGCAGAGTTGCCAGGGGACCTTGTTAGAAGTCATCTCTGCCCCCATCTCTCGTAGCCCAGCCTCCCTCCCACACCCCAGCACTGGAATATCAACTCGCCCCCTCTGGACTCGCTCTCCGTATGGTGCCCTCTGGGTAGAAGGTTTGTCCTCCCTTTCTGTGCCTTGCACACAGATGGTGCTGCACGACGGAGTGGCCCTAGCAGGTGCTGTCCTGAACACCTGGGCAGGAGTGCTCCCGGCCCCATTAGGCCTCTGCTCTGGCATCATCCGGTGCCGCCGGGTCAGCATCCTGCCAGGGGCCAGCTCCTCTAAGCCTGGCCTGCGCCAGGCTTCTTCAGAAAGTTCATGGAAAAATGAGACTAAAAGGTAAGTTTATTTTGATGCAAAAAAAAAATTTTGAAACCCATGCATAGTTTTTCTTTAAAAAAAAAAAAAAAGTGTTTTCCATGAGCTTTGTGAAGATCTCTCACGTTAGGCACCAGGCGGTGACTAAGGAATGGCCAGGCGGCAGGGCTGCGGCCGACTGAGAGCGCCACCCCCACCCACCGTGCACGGCCTGGTGTAGGCACAGTGTGAGGGAGGCCCAGCGGGGGCCCTGGGGGGCACCGATCATTTGAGACTTCTTCTAGAGCCCAGAGGATGGATGCTGCTGGCTCAGAGCCAGAGCTGGTTTCTTTGACTCCGGTTTAGAAGTCAGGACAGTGAATATTAAATCCAGAATTTTTCTTACAGCATTAAGACAATCGGACGGTCTGTTTACTCACAGGCTATGGTACCAGCTGGCTCATAGCCGGCATGTGGCTTCCCACACGCCCTCCACTGCCCGCCCATCCTCGACGAGCCCACTTCACCCATGTGTGTCTCCATCCACGGGGGTGGCCGTGGCTCCAGAGGAGCAGCCAGGAGTGGGTGGCTTTCCCACGGCCATGGTGCAGGTTCAGGGACATCGTGTGTAAGAGAACACAGCCTGGAGCCAGCCCGGCACGGAGTGTACTCACAGGAGGGATGTCCTCTCCATGGTGGCCTGAAAGCCCAGGGCACAGCCGCCCTGAGGTGGTTGGGTCAGGGCCTGGGGCAGGCCTGCCTGGTGCTGGCCGTGGCTCTGGCCCTCTCCTGGGCTGGTCGTCTGTGCCACCACACCCTGACCTGCCTTCCCTTCCAGAGAGTTGGCCAGCTCTGGGGCTGGGAGATAACCGGCTGGCCCTTCGCCACCACTGCGTGAGCACGAGCCAGGCTGGCTTCTTACAGAGCGTCCTCCCGCATCTCCCTACAGCCCGTGAAGGCAGAGACCATGACCGTGAGCAGCCTGGCCATCAGGAAGAAGATCGAGCCGGAGGCCATGCTGCAGAGCCGAGTCTCCGCTGCAGACCACACCCAGGTAGCCCGCGCTGCCGAGGACCCTGAGCGCGGGGTCAGGCGCTGGGGGCAGCCGGGAGCCGCCTCTGCCGTGCCCATGGCTCAGCCAGCCCTTCCCACCCCTGCTCCCCTGGAGCCCCATCTTACCCTGAGCCTCAGTGTACCCCCTAAGCTCTGGGGTGCAGGGTGGGTTAGGCTCTTGTCCTGGGTAGACCATGCCTCTTAAAACCTCGTTTTCCCCATCTGTAAGATGGGGGTGGTCCTGTCTCCCCTTTCTTGTGGGAGTGTTGGGAGGATGCATGGTTGATGGGTTAGGACCCCGGTTTTCAGGTGGCTTGAGGGATGCCAGGAGCCACTTGGGGAGAGAAGATGGAGCAGCCACAACCCAGCTGCAGTCAGAACAGCTCACCTTGGGTCATGTTTACACGTGGGGCTTCAACAGACTGGTGACCTGCACAAAAGCCCGGAAATCAATTGTCTTAGCAAGGTGAAGCCCACTCGGCACCTTGGGGAGAGGTGTCCTGAGAGACGCAGCTGCTCTGAGCCGCCAGCTTCAAAGATGAGGACGGGGCTCTGAGAGGCAGTGCGGGGGCTTTGTGCCCTGAGTTCAGTCTTTATCTCGAGAACTAAAATACGACATAAACAACAGCCTGGTTTCCAGAGGCTCTCTCCCCCTCTTACGGTGCTGCTCTTGGGGGGTGGGGGTGATGCTGCCCAGAGCAGGTCAAGACTCTCGGGCTCTGCTGGGCTGGGCTCTGTGACCTTGGGCAAGCTGCTTTCCCTCTCTGACCTGTTTTGTCTGCTTCACATGGGTTTCCATATAGAAAAGCTTAAGGAAATTAAGTGGCCTCACATCCCACAGCCTAGTAGCTCTTCCTGATATCAAAATAAAACAAAAAATTCAGTTACAAAATTCAAACAGAGGGCCGGCGCCGCGGCTCACTAGGCTAATCCTCCGCCTAGCGGCGCCAGCACACCGGGTTCTAGTCCCGGTCGGGGCGCCGGATTCTGTCCCGGTTGCCCCTCTTCCAGGCCAGCCCTCTGCTGTGGCCAGGGAGTGCAGTGGAGGATGGCCCAGGTGCTTGGGCCCTGCACCCCGTGGGAGACCAGGAAAAGCACCTGGCTCCTGGCTCCTGCCATCGGATCAGCGCGCTGCGCCGGCCGCAGCGCGCCGGCCGCGGCGGCCATTGGAGGGTGAACCAACGGCAAAGGAAGACCTTTCTCTCTGTCTCTCTCTCTCACTGTCCACTCTGCCTGTCAAAATAAAAAAAAAATAAATAAAAAAAAAAAATTCAAACAGAACAAAATGAAATTTTTCTCATGCTATCTTCTAGAAAAATATTTACACACGTGACAGTATAAACACCTTTATCTCTGTACACTTAGAAATCTTATGTAAGTGCCATCAGCCTCTTTTAAACCCTACCTGTTTTCCTTAATAACTATTTGCGGATCACTCCCTATTGGCATAGGTGGACCCCTCCCCCTTCTTTTTGCCATTTAGGAAGCAAACCCTGTTTTGTTTTCCTGTCTCCTGTCACTGGACCCTGTGGTTATTTCTGTCTAAAATTTTTTTTTAATGTATTTGAGCAACAGATAGGCGGAGAGCTCTCAGCCACTGGCTCCCTCCCCATGTGGCCACAGCAGTGAGGGACTGAGCTGGGAACAGGGCTGTCACCGCTGCCTCCCGAGGGCTGTGTTAGCAGGAGCTGGAGTCGGGAGCCAGAGCTGGAGATCAGACCAGGGCGTTCCCGTGCAGGGTGTGGGCACCTTAGCCCCGGGGCCAAGCTCCTACCGCTGGTTCTGTCTTTTGCAGTCAATGCTCAGAGCCTACCGTGAACCTCTCTGTTCGTGCTCCTTGGCAAACTTTTCTGTACCCAAAGAGTAAATTCCTAGGGTCAAAGGCTGCATGCTTTGAGATTTGAATGGAATTTGTCAGATTATTGTTTTTCCTTTGTGCAATGCCCTGGGTGAGCCTGCCAGGCTGCCCTGCCTCTGTGCTGGCCGCCTCCGCGTGAGCTCACGCACACGGCCGGTCACCCTGGAGCTGGGAACACCATGGGCCTGGTGGCAGATGCTGCAGATGGCCGTGGCTTTCTTGCCCTCTAAAACGACTCCTCTGGCTGGCAGGTTGATGGGAGTGCCCTGGCGGGGAAGGAGTTCATGGTCACCGCCCCCTCCATCACCACAGAGACCATATCAACCACCATGGTAAGTCAAGCCTGGGCGCCCCCCTTTCTGAGCGGCCCCTCCACTCACGTGGCTGCAGCAGCTGCAGGACTCGCCCGCTGGCCCCCCAGCCTCGGGCAGCGGCCCCCTGCCAGACACCCATCAGCTGGTGCCTTAGCTGTCCCAGGGCAGTCCCACGACAGTTTCCCCAGCAGAGTGATGGGGGGTGGAGCGCCCGAGTCAGCCTCGCAGGGTAGAAGGCGCGTGGTGCTGCTGGAGCACTGGCGCGCGCCAGTCTCGTCTCAGGATCCCCCTGGTGCACCTCCCCGGGTCTGCAGCTGAGCCTGACAGTCACTGAGGACCCTTCTGGCAGTGGCACCTTTTGGGGTGTCTTGAGCCACTTCCTCGCCTTGGTCAGTAGATGGCAGCAATGAGCTGGAATCGGAAACAACATTTTGAGGGACTTCCTGAACGACCTCGTGGTTCTGCAACCTATTTGCTGTCTGACCCATGACAAAAGGTCCTTGGCCTTGGCCTCAGGTGTCCTCATCAGTAAAATGGGTGTCATCCCCATTCTGCCCGGCTCCCGGGTTCCTAAGACTCCAGCAACACTGGGTCCTTTAACGATGACCCAGGTCAGGCAGCAATCAGCACCCAGGCTGCAGTGCCAGGCGCTATGCGGAGAACTTTGAGTGGATTCTCACCTGGGCCTTTACAGATGATGGAACTGACCTTGAGAGAGGTCAAGTGACTTACCCCAGGGCACACAACCAATAAGTGGCAGTGCCGGCTTAGCCCAGGCATCCCGACACCAGAGGCCCCCCCTCCCAGCCCCCACCGCTCTGCTCTGCTCCCCAACCCCCGCCCCACCCCGGGCCCAGCGCTGGGGCTGGAGAAGGGAGCAATGCCTGCGTCAGCTGCCTCGAGCTGCTTTCTCTTGGCAAACCCCCCGACGCTCACCTCGGAGAATAATTGTTAGTTTAGACTAACAATTAAGTAACTGCAGGGAGGTTTGGAATAGACAAAGATTTCAGAATCAACAAGTCCAAACCAGTATCCAGCTGGCACACTTTTTTCCCCTGGTCACTCAGTTCCTCCTCTTCCCCCCAGCCCTTGACCATGGGGCACTGGGGTGCTGGTAGGGCTAAATTCAGACACATCCGCACGGTGAGCAATGTTACGTCACTCATTTACTCATCCGTCCATCCACCCACCCATTCATTCGTTCCGAAAGCATCTATCAGCCTCTGCTAACTGCCTGCCTGCTCCAGACCCACCGAGCTAAAGAAACACACTGCCTGCTAGGGTCCACCCATTCACGTCACCCCACAGGGAGCGAATGTGCCCCACATGTAGGCTCTGGGCACACCGTGGTGAACAAGGCCCAGCTCTCCCACTTCCTGGCTGCATGACCTTGGGCAAGTTACCTGCACCTCTCCAAGCCTCAGTTTCTGTGGGGTGAGAGTAGGGGGCGAGAGCAGCAGGGGCCTGAGAGGCTGCACGTGGGGACGGACTGAGGCCCTCTGGCCACGCCCGAGACCGGTGCCTGGCACACACTGAGTGGCATGGAGCTGCGGGCTGCTGTCGCTTCTTCCTGTCTTCGTGGAACGGTGTCACCACGCCCTCCCGAGGACCACAGGGAGGACGGCTATGGGGCGACAGGAGTCGGGGCAGGCGTTACCCAGGCAGGGACAAGTGAGCCGTGTGTGCGGGAGAAATTCAGGTGCAGTCATAGGAGAAAGGTGTCTAGGCCATGGGAACAGCAGTGCAAAGGCAAAAATGCGAAGAGGCAGAGCCTCTGGAGGCAAAGCTCAGTAGTCATTGAAGCCAGGGTCAGGGGTGTACAGGAGGAGCCGAGGGAGAAGAGACCCCAGAGGAAGTCCAGGCCCGAGCTTGAGGAGCCGCGAGTGTCGCGTACAGATTCCAGCTTCATGCCGGAGACAAGGGGGAACTGCTCACATCCTAAGGTAGCGGCATGATGTCACCAAGCAGGTGCTTCTGGGCTTTAGGAAGATCAGGCAGGACTAGAGCAAACCCTCCTTCCGACCCCTCCTTCCTCCCTCCTCCCTCCTCCCTCCTCCCTCCTGCCTCCTCTCCTTTGGTGAATGTTTACTGAACACCCACGACGTGTGAAGTATTGCACCGGCCCCTGTGAGTCCAGCACTGAAGCAGAGAGACAGCAACAGCAACCCAGCAGCTGGGAGAGGCGGAAGGAGAAGGCAGGGAACTGGCACAGAGACTGGGGTCCAGCCTGCAGCAGGGCCCAGGGCAAGCAGGTGGCTGCAGAGGGGGGGTCAGGGTCAAGGATGGCCGGAGTGAAAGACAGAATTTGGTCACTAGTCGAAGGTTCAGGCAACAGGAGGACAGATGGGCTGGGGATGCCGCTCGTTAGCCAGTGGTTCTCAGAGTGTGGTCTTGGCAGCCTGCCAGAAAGGCAGTGCGCAGGCCCAGCTCCAGGGCTCTTGATACAACGCTGTGGGGGACCCGGCGGACTGCAGTCCTGCAAGCCCGCCAGGGGACCCCTCAAGTCCGAGGACCACCGGCAGAAACCGAGCGCATGGAAGACTCCACTGGGGAGCCACCGAGACCAGGCTGCCCGTGTGACGCTGCAGGGGGACGGTGTCGGGAGGCTGCTGATCTGAAAGTCTAGGCCGAGGTTCAGCTGTAGCACCATGCGCAGAGCAGCTGCTGAAGGGACCGTTCTGGATCCCTGGACAGACAAGACTGAGCCCTGAGATGGGGCGGGAGTGGGAGGGGGCAGCCGGGCTCCTGGCCAGATCCGAGGCACTAAGTCTAGGGGACAATACCAAGATGTAGCAGTTAGAACCCAAGGTCGCCCCAGGAGCGCCACCTGCAGGACAGCGTTGCAAGGGCAGGTGGTGGCTGGGTCTGCACTGCTTGCTGGGGGACTTGAACACACGTGGAAGCCTTTCGCGTCCTCCAGTTGCTCCTCTGTAAAGCAGCAATGTTAAAGATGATTACCTGTGGTTGTCAGGAGGATTAAATGAGATAACACACATAAGGTCCTTAGCACAACGCCAAGCAGCCGTAGCGAGTACTCAGAAAACAGTAGTTAGTGCGTGGACACCTGGTCCAGCTGAGGCAGCACTTGGGGCCCCAGCATCCCGTATCAGCATCCCGGCCGCTCTGCTTTCGATTCAGCTCCCTGCTGATGCATCCTGGGAGGCAGCAGATGTTGGCTCAAGTGCTTGGGTGCCTGCCACGCATGCGGGAGACCCGGGTGGAATCCTGGTCTCTTGGCTTTGGGCTGGCCCAGCCCAGGCTACTGTAGGCATTTGGGGAGTGAACCAGTGGATGTTTCTCACTGTCTCATCTCTGTCACTCTGTCTTTGAAGCAGATGAAGATAAATAAGCATCAAAAAATAGTAAAAAAAGAAAAGTTAGAGCAAAAAACTACAAAGTCGTAGCTATGCTATTATGATAGGCAGCCTGCATTCTGTGTCGTCCTACCGATGTCAAAGCCTCTTTTCCATTAGCACCACCTGGTCCCTGGGGGGAGGGGCAGGGGCTCGGGCTCGTTTTTCACAGATGAATCCATGAGGCCCTTAGAGAGGAAGGGCCTGTGGCTGGAATGGAAGGGGACAAGGGCCCGTGAGTCTCCACTTCTCCGTTAGGGCTGCGGGAGAGCAATACCGTGGCTTGTTCACCACAGTGTCCCTGACCCAGGCACTCAGCGTGTGAGTGGGTGACTGCGAGCGAGCGAGCGAGTGTGCGAGTGATGGACAAGAGGAGATTAAGCTGAGTGATGTTTCTCGTGGCACTACCCAACCTTGTGGCCGTGGGAGCTACGTGGCCATGTGCTGTGGCCATCCTGGGGGCCCGCCCACCTGAGACCTGGCCATCTGAGCACTATTGTTTTCCCAGGAGAACAGTCTCAAGTCCGGGAAGGGGGCAGCTGCCATGATCCCAGGCCCACAGACGGTGGCCACGGAAATCCGTTCTCTTTCTCCGGTAAGTGGGCAGGGCCAGCTCAGTCTAGGGGACTCGGAGCTGAGGACGTGGGCGTGGGCCCACGTGCAGCCTGCAGCAAGTACAGCACCGAACCCCAAGCCACCCACCTTTTTACTGCAGAACCGGGAAGCTGGGTCGCTCTCAGGTGCCCCAGGGCTTCCCGGTGCCCGCCAGTCTCGTCAGTTGCCGTCCCCCGCCCAGCCCTAGGTAAACAGGACATTGCAGCGTGGGCACAGAGCAGTCCCTCTCCTTGGTGGTGCCCGTGACAATGATTTTGCATCTGCCCTATCTACTGAACGGGAAGAACTGTGAAGTAGGCATCCAGAGGTCGTGTTCTGGGCCTGCCTGTGTCGGGGGCTGCCTGGGGCCCCAGTCTGTCCCTGCGAGGTCCCCTCCAGCTTTTGCCTTCTCTGAGACTTGTACTCGTGCTCCAGCCCCAGAGAGGGTGTGCTCCTGGCTGTGACAAAGCGGGGGCATCTTGAAGTCCCCCTTTCCACCTCGGATCCCTCTGTGTGTTCTTCCAAGATTCCAGGATTCTTGTATTCTAGAGTAGTAGGGTTCTGGGCCACAGGAATCTCAGGATGTAGGAATCTCAGATTCCAGGGTTTGAGAATTTCATGGGTCTAGGATTCGGACGGATCCAGTAGTCTCAGATTCCTCAGAGCTCAGGCCGTCTTGGCCTCCAAGCCTTACCTCACAGGGTGGCCCTCATCCCTTGCTCTACCCACGTGCTCCAGCCCTGCAGAGCCCGATGCCCTCAGCTGACGCCCGGGGTGGGGGTGGTTGTATTCTGCAGATCATCGGGAAAGATGTCCTCACCAGCACCTACGGCGCCACCGCGGAAACCCTCTCAACCTCCACCACCACCCATGTTACCAAAGTGAGTAGCAGCAGGCACCTGGGCCCCAGCCGGGCTGCAGGCGGGAAGGTCATTACCAGGGCTGTGCTTTGACTTGGCAATCTGCAAGGCGGACGGAGAGGAGCTGTGGTGTTAGCTGCGGTGCTGTGCGCCTGGTCCCGTGCCAGGCGTTGACCTTGGCACAGGCCCTGCCCTCACAAGGGTGACCGCTGGGCTGGGGAGACAAGTCGCTGGCTTTCTGAGTAATTGTGAACCCTGGGGTTTGTACCTTGTACAAGGGGTCTCCCAAAAGTTCATGGAAAACGTGTATCACTGAAAAATTATGCACGGACTTCAAAATCCGGTGCACTAAAGTCACCTCTTCTAACTCCACTTTCCCACGGACTTTTTGAGGTGCCCCATGGACCTTCAGTGCTGCAGAGATTTAGAGGAAGCCACAAGCAGCAGCCTCCACTAGGGTCAGGAAGCATCACCTGGCAGGATCGGGCTTTGAGCAGGGTCTTGGGGGCCAGCTAGGACTCCCCTGAGGGAGGAGGAGACAGAGGCGTGTGTTCTAAGCAAAGCAGAAGATGGAGCGGAAGCCGTGCACTTGCTTGTTGTTCATTGAGCACCTGCTAGGGCGCGTCCCCCTCGTGCCGGCCGCTATGCAGGGCTGCTCCAGGCTGTGTGAGTCGGGCGTGCTTGGGGGACGGGGGAAGCAGCACAGAGGGGACAGACCTGGGCAGTCAGGTTGGCCAGGAGGCAGGGCAAGCGGAGGCCAATGGGACAGGTGCCAGCAGGACCTACGAGCAGGGAGTCAAAAGGAACTCAAAAGAGCCCTGGAGGTTTCTAAACTGGGAGGGGCCCAGTGGAAGTAGGTTTGAGGAGAGCATGTTAGGTCTACCAGCACGGGCAGACAGATGAGAGAGAGAAGAGGGAGAGTTATGGAGGGGGCCTGGGGCAAGGCAGGGGTCAGAGCGGGGAAGGGAGAGTGAGCCAAAGCAGGGAGGCATTCCTGGGGCAGCAGGTGCGACTCAGCCAGGAGGAGCTAAGCGCTGGGAGGCAGGCGGGCTGAGGCGGCCACACCTGGGTGGCCGGGAGCGAGGCTGGAGGCCTAGAGGAGCCGCGCTGGGCTTGCTGGAGCCATGCACAGAGCAGTCTGGAGGGTGGCGTCGGCCCGTGGTGCACACAGTCTGCCCCAGCCCCTGCCTCAGCCCCGGGCAGGCGCAGCACTGCATCACCTTCCCTAGAACAAAACCTCCATCCCCAAGAGCACGTGGGAGCCGCGTGGACTTCCGAGAGCTCTGTAGAAAGGCTGACATCACATCCCCCACGGCGACAGCTCAGAACCTGCTTCCTTCCTCCCCAGGAGTCCCTGTGGGCCCTGCCAACCGGAAACCTCTGCTCCCTCTGTCCACCCCCAACTCCGCCCCGCCCCCCGCTTAGTAGGCCCACAAGTAGTCCTGTCCTCTCTTTACTTCTCCACATGCACCCAAACCCCACCCTCTGGAAACCAGTGACAGCAGTAAGAATCGTCGGTGCACTTTGCTCTTGTGGTGTTCAGTCGTCTAAGGTAGAACCTTGTCGCCATTCACATTTCATTCATGTGTTCATTCAGCGAATCTGCATTCAGCACCACTCTGCTCAGACTGGGCGAGGGAGTCGGGGAGGGGCCACACGGAGCTGGACAGAGGACAGGCCCCGCCCTCGGGAACTTGGAGCCTGGTGAGGGGGCAAGGCCATGTGTACTCCTAAGGCCAGCAGCAGGCAGAGAGGCCCAGGACACGGAGCGCCAGCCTCAGGGCCCGGGGAGAAGGCCTCAAGGGATTGCCAGGCAGGGGCGGCAGTGTGGGTGGGGGCTGGGGGCAGCGGGGCAGTCCGGGGAGTGGCAGCAAGCAGGCCAGAGCTGCGGTTTGAAGCCCCAACCTGAAAAAGGCAAACGCCGAGGAAGCCAGGAGAGGGGGGACCGAGAGTCGCTGGCCCTCAGCCCTGCCCCAGAGAGCGGCTTTGGGTTAGGTTCCCCGTCCCAGCGGCTGCTGGCAGAACCCGTGACCTGACCTCCCTCTCCCTCCACAGACTGTGAAAGGGGGGTTTTCTGAGACGAGGATCGAGAAGCGAATCATCATTACCGGGGACGAAGACGTGGATCAAGACCAGGTATGGGACAGGAAATGGCACTGCAGGTGGCACTGCCCAGCCCCGGCCCCCCCATATTGGGTTACCTGCGGGTGTCCACGTCTCACTAACCCTATTTAAGAGAGGAGCCCCGAAAGGAAGGGGCGTGGCGTGGGAGCCAGAAGGAGCCGGAAGATCCACACTTCACTGTTTGCCACCCGGGCCTCCACTTCCCTGGCTGTGCACGAAGGGGCTTGCTCTTTCCCGGTGGCCTCCACCCTCGTGGACGTGCCTGGTCCCTCACTGTGCTGCTCTACCCACCCCCCCAGGCCTTGGCGTTGGCCATCAAGGAGGCCAAGCTGCAGCATCCTGACATGCTGGTGACCAAAGCTGTCGTGTACAGAGAAACAGACCCGTCCCCGGAGGAGAGGGACAAGAAGCCGCAGGTAAGGGAGGCTCCGGGGCTGAGCAGCCGTGAGAGAGGAGGGAGCAGCAGCAAGAGCCCCTGGGGGTCAATTTCCACCCGAGAGAGCCCCGTGGCTGGGCCCCTGGGGCAGCACCCACACCCCCACTTCCTGGCTTGTGGCTCAAAGGAGAGGGGCAGCTCCCCCAGAGCGGGGTGGGGAGTGGAAACTGGTGCCTTGATTGCCTCGGGGCTTTAGGCCCCAGACCCAGGAGAGAAGAAAAGGGGAGAGGATTGATGGTGGCGTTTGGGGATATAGGGCGACAGCCGGAGGTGCACACAATCCCATCAGCCAATGCCTGAGCACTGGCAGCCAGGAGCAGCCCTTCCAGGCCCAGGGCACGACACTGTCCATCACAGCTCCTGCATGTTGCTAAGGGGCACGATGACCGGAGGCTTGCCCCACTCTGTCCAGCTGGGCTGCAAACCCTTGACTGTCATGTCTCCAGGGCCCGGGACATTGTCCTGTTCCCCTGAGGGCTATGTCTGCCCTGGTGGATGACAGAGCGGGCAGGCAGGGCTTCTGACAGCCTAAATTGGGAGAGGGCTTCTTTCAGCCCCCCACCCCCCGCCCCGGGAACTTTCCAGATCTCATCTGTGAAAGCTTGACTTAAGAGAAACAAAGGTGGACATGATGAGTCCATACTGGGTGATCCCATCCAGAGGAAACTGAGAAGTAGGCAGAATGACAGTGATGACAAAAGACAGAATCTTGTTGCTTCTAGCCCGGGACATTGATAACGAGAGCCACAGGGGAGGCTGCTGGGAGCTGGCAGAGCCTGTCTTCAGCCAGGCGGGTTCTGTGGCTGGGTGCAGATGTAAGAATTTGTCAAGTCCTCATGTATGCGTCGGTTTGTTTGCTTGACACGTTTCCCATATTACACCACGATGAGAAATTTCCATCTTAAAGACCCCGCAGATAGCTGCCCTCTTTTTCATCTTTTCCTTGAAGAAATGAAACCAGGGGCCGGCGCCGTGGCTCACTTGGCTAATCCTCTGCTTGTGGCACCCGCATCCCATATGGGCGCCAGGTTCTAGTCCCGGTTGCTCCTCTTCCAGTCCAGCTCTCTGCTGTGGCCTGGGAGTACAGTGGAGGATGGCCCAAGTGCTTGGGCCCCTGCACCTGCATGGGAGACCAGGAGGAAGCACCTGGCTCCTGGCTTCGGATCGGTGCAGACAAATGGCCGTGGTGGCCATTTGGGGAGTGAACTAATAGAAGGAAGACCTTTCTCTCTGTGTGTCTCTCTCATTGTCTATAATTCTACCTGTCAAATAAATAAAAAAAAGAAAGAAAAAAAAGAAATGAAACCAGCGATTTCTAAATGGCACAAGAATCTGTCTGTCTCTCGCTCTGATGATCACTCCCTTAGTGTCCGAAGAAAAAGCGCTGAGGCCGTTCCCTGCCCCTTCGAGGGGCTGCCAACTGCTGTAGGGCACCAGCGCCGCCCACGGTACACAGAGACACCCAGTGGAGACTGCACACTTGAAATTGGCCAGTCTGAAATGAGACAGGCTTGAAGGGAGGAAATACAGGCGGGTGCTCTACGGTGCCCAGCGCCAGGGCCAGGTGGGAAAGGGCAGCGAAGCGAGAGACTGTGGACTATGGGAGTGGTCTGGAGTAACAGCGAGCCCCCTAGTGTGCAGCTGTGGAATCTGAGACCCAGGGATGGGCAGGACCGGAGCTTGGGTCTTCTGGCCCCTTCCAGCTCCCATCCCATGCCCCTCCCTCAACAGAAACACTAATGCATATATTGGGTTAAGTGAAACATAGTATTAAAACTTATTCTGGCCAGGTGCCGTGGCTCACTTGGCTAATCCTCCACCTGCGGCGCTGGCACCCCGGGTTCTAGTCCTGGTTGGGGCGCTGGGTTCTGTCCCAGTTGCTCCTCTTCCAGTCCAGCTCTCTGCTGTGGCCTGGGAGTGCAGTGGAGGATGGCCCAGGTCCTTGGGCCCCCCTGCACCTGCATGGGAGACCAGGAGGAAGCACCTGGCTCCTGGCTTCGGATCGGTACAGCGCACCGGCCATGGCAGCCATCTGGGGGGTGAACCAATGGAAAAGGAAGACCTTTCTCTCTGTCTCTCTCTCACTGTCTAACTGCCTGTCAAAAAAAAAAAAAAAAAAAAAACTTATTCTGTTTCTTTTTAGTGTTTCCAATAAATTAAAATTCAATATAAATTGAATTTTTTGATGTAGCTAGAAAGTTTAGGAATACCTAGGAAACATAGGAGATGTTTTCTAGAGCATCTATTCTCTAGAACCTCTGGAACTCCCTCTGTGGCTCACGTTCTATTTCTGTTGGGCGGTGCTGCCCTAGAGGCGTGAGACGGCCACAGGCAGAACCTGCCTCCCAGCCCTCGTCAGATTTTCAAGCAAGGGATGGATGGCCACTTCTGCCCCCTCGGCCACCTAAGTTTTCTTGCTGTTTCTTCCCCAAAACTCAGAGCGGGAGAGGCTAGGCTGCTTGCCAGGCCGTGTCTCCGGGGCAGTGGGCCCTTGCTGTCAAGTCTGATCCAGAGAGGACCTGGGGCCCGTGTTGCCAGAGGAACTTCCTGTGAAGCTGGGTCCTTAGGGTGTTCCTGGGCAGCCAGGTGATGGAGGCCTGGGTGCCAGGAGCTCTGTGTGGGGAATCGAGGGAGCAGCCCTGTAGCCATGGCACTGACCATGCGCGACCCTGGGCCAGTGTCTGTCCTGCTACTTCCCCATTTGCAACATGGAGAGAGGAGCACGCCCGCTGCCCCCTTCCGTTCAGTTCTTCTTGGGCTTTCCCGGGCGCCTGCTCTGTGTCTCTTGTCTCTGCTCCCTTCCCTGTCTCACACCTCCTCGTCTTTCCCGGAGTAATCACAGCCCCCAGACTCTGGCCTTCACAGTGCCCTGGCCCAGCCGAGCTGTGGTCCCGGCTCCCACATCGTGTCCACCCCTCTGCGGCTGGGGAGGCTGTCCCGTCTGCCCACCCTGCGGCTCCCTCTGCAGCCCCGTTCCCTCCTTCTCACCTGTGGGGAGCAACTCGGACTAGACTAAGTTACTGGAATTAAGACTTATTCTATGCATCTGCTCTCCCACAATATGGCGCTGGGAGAGGAGGAAACAACTTCTACACAGCTGCCTCCAGTTCAACCAATAAACAGCAGGAACTACTCCTGATTGGAGGAGAGCAGCGTACTCGGCGTGTGGGTAGCAGAGTTGGGATTGGTGGAAGAGGACTATAAAGGAGGAGAGAGACAACATGCACCAGGGACATCTATCTGAAGGAACACCTGAGCAGCCCCCGAGAGAGCCGGCCGGCGGTGTGCCGCTCCCCCGCGGAAGTGGGGAAAGTGGCAGGGGGAACCGCCCTTCCACGGAGGTGGAAGGGATGGTAGCCAACCCGGGAAGAACCAGCAGCAAACCCGGGGAGGGCCGAGCAGACAAAAGAACAGCACAGGGTCCTGTGTCGTTCCTCCACGAAGAGGGGGAGCGACACTCACCTCTCTTCAGCTCTTTGATGCCGTCTCTCCACGCACCACCAGACACCCTCTCTCTCTCTCTCTCCCTCCGGCTCTGTCCTGGCACAGTGGGTTAAACCTCCACCTGCAACGCTGGCATCCAAAGTGGGTGCCGGTTCACGTCCCAGCTGCTCCACTTCTGACCCAGATTCCTGAGGAAGTGCTTGGGAAAGTGGCAGAGGGTGGCTCAAGTGCTTGGGCCCCCGCACCCACATGGGAGACCCAGAGGAAGCTTCTGACTCTTGGCTTTGGCCTGGCCCAGCCCCAGCCACGCTGCGGCCATTTGGGGAGTGAACCAGCAGGTGGAACATCTCTCTGTGTAATTCTGACTTCCCAAATAAATAAATAAGTAAATAAATCCTTAGGGAAAAAAAAAAAAAAAAGGAGCACACCCTAGCTTTGCAGCCAGAAACGCCTTGGTAGCTGTGTGCCTAGAAGATCCCCTCCGGGCCCCAGCTTCCTGCCTTTTTTTTTTTTTTTTTTTTTTTTTTGACAGGCAGAGTGGACAGTGAGAGAGACAGAGAGAAAGGTCTTCCTTTGCTGTTGGTTCACCCTCCAATGGCCGCCGCGGCCGGCACACCGCGCTGATCCGAAGGCAGGAGCCAGGTACTTATCCTGGTCTCCCATGGGGTGCAGGACCCAAGCACTTGGGCCATCCTCCACTGCACTCCTGGGCCACAGCAGAGAGCTGGCCTGGAAGAGGGGCAACCAGGACAGAATCTGGCACCCTGACCAGGACTAGAACCCGGTGTGCCGGCGCCGCTAGGCGGAGGATTAGCCTAGTGAGCCGCGGCGCTGGCCAGCTTCCTCAGCTTTGAAATGGAGTTGGTCGGTAAACTGGAGCCGCCGTAATAATTAGTTGCTGATGAGGGCCTCGAGGAAGTCAGGCCGCGCACTTCTGCCACAACCCGCGAGGCTGTTTGCTGTCTCGCTGCTCTTCATCCTCTCTTGCCACCCGGAATCCCCCAGAAACATCTGTTCCGGCTCCAGTGGGCTCCGGGCCTTCCTCCCTGTGGAAAGGCCGGAGCCTTCTCTGTCCTGCAGCCTTGCTGGCCGGACGTGCGGCTTCTGCTCCGGCTTCTCCCCGGCCCGCCGCCTGCAGTGGGGACCTGTCTCTTACAGACGCTGCCAGCGAGCGGCGCCTGTGCAGACGCCTGGAGCTCCCTTCCCCTGAGGTGTTTGATTCCACAGGGAAAAAAGGGTCTGTGTCCCAGGACAGGATCTTGGATCTTGGATTGCTTTTTTTTTTTTTTTTTTTTTTTTTTCTGACAGGCAGAGTGGACAGTGAGAGAGAGAGAAACAGGGAGAAAGGTCTTCCTTACCATTGGTTTACCCTCCAATGGCCACTGCGGCCGGCGCACTGCGCTGATCCGAAGCCAGGAGCCAGGTGCCTCTCCTGGTCTCCCATGGGGTGCAGGGCCCAAGGACCTGGGCCATCCTCCACTGCACTCTCGGGCCACAGCAGAGAGCTGGCCTGGAAGAGGGGCAACCGGGACAGAATCTGGCGCCCTGACTGGGACTAGAACCCGGTGTGCCGGCGCCGCAAGCAGAGGATTAGCCTATTGAGCCTCGGTGCTGGCCTTTTTTTTAAAGGAAGGAATCCCCTGATCTCAAAGGATTAGTGGCCTCCTGTGGTTTCTTTTTCTTTCTTTTTTTTTTTTTTTTCTGAATATTTGAAAGGCAGAGATACAGACAGAGAGTGGGAGAGACAGATAGAGAGGTCTTCTATTTGCTGGTTCACTCCCCAAGATGGCCACAATGGCTGTGGCTGGGCCAGGCCAAAGTCAGGAGCCACGAGCCTCATCCAGGCTTCGCATGTGGCTATCAGGGCCCAACAACCTGGGCCATCCTCCACTGCTTTCCCAGGCACACCAGCAGGGAGCTGAATCAGAAGTGGAGCAGCCGGGACTCCAACTCCACATGGGATGCTGGCACTGCAGGCAGAGGCTGAACCCACTACACCACAGCACCGGCCCCGGGGATCTCAGATTCTAGTCTTGGTTCTGCCACCAAACACTCGGAGTCTGTTTCCCCAGATGTCAAGTGAGCCAAGAAGGAGCAGAGTTCTATGAGTCCATTAGCTCCTGGTCGCATGTGAGTGGCAGAAGGCAGGAGTGATGTCCCGTGCACCTAATGGCTTTGAGTAGTGGCTTTGAGCCAAGGACAGCACTGGGCACTGGAAAGACAGTGGCAGGCAAAAGTCGGCCGTTGCCCTCAAGGAGGTCAGGGCACGTACTGTGTGCACAGCAGCAGCAGGAGTCAGCCAGCCAGCACTGGCCCGGCACTTCCTGTAGGCTGGGCCCTTGCTTTGACCTCTCCTTATCCGGCATCAGCGGGACCCGTGCTAGAGGAAGTAGCAGAGGCACAATGGGATTATGAAACTCGCCCAGGATTGTCGAATGAACAAGCCACAGAGTAGGGTTTTTATTTTTAATTTTCGTTGCAAATTTTTCAGCTGATACATAAACATTGTAGGTCTTTATGGGATGCCATGGGATGTTTTGACACATGTATACATTGTGCAACACTTAGATCAGGCTAAATGTACCTGTATCCTCAAACATTTATCATTTCTTTATGGTGAAAACATACAAAATTGTTTCTTCTACTTGTTTTTTTTTTTTTAAATATACAGTTCCTTATCACCATCTGTAATCATCCCACCATGCAACAGAACAGAACTTTTTCTCCCATCTAATATAACTGAATACTCTGATCGAGTTTTCCCTTCCCTCTCCTCCCCAGCCCGTGGGTAACCACCATTGCCTCTCAGCTTCTACAGGTGATGGGATCAGCTCTTTTAGGTTCCATGTATGAGTGAGATCACGTGGTGCTTGCCTGTCTGTGCCTGACTCGCGGCAGTTAGCAGAACTAGCTTTTGTTCTGTCCATGTTGCTGCAGACGACAAGGTCACCTTTCACGGCTGCATAGTATTCCACTGTGTAAATGTGCCATGTTTTTTTTCTTTATCCGCCCTCCAACGACCAACTCTCAGGCTCTATCCGGGTCTCACGGTTGTGAGCAGTGCTGCAGTAAGCATGGGAGTGCACCTGCCTCATCCATAAACTGATTTCATTTCCTTCGGGTTTGTACCCAGCAGTAGGATTGCTGGATCACCTGGTACTCCTGTTTTTAATTTTTGGAGGAACGTCCGTAGTATTTCCCACATCTGTGCTAATTTACATTCCCACCGACAGGGTGCAAGGGTTCCCCTTTCTCCACATCCTCACCAGTCCCTGTTATTTTTTAACAATAGCAATTTCAACTAGAAAGAGGTGATGTCTCATTGTGGTTTTGATTTGCATTTCTTTGATGGTTAGTGATAGCATTTTTTCATGTACTTACTGAGCGTTGGTAGATCTCCAACTGAAAAAATACATATTTAGAGCTATTACTCATCTCTAATGGATTATTTAGGGAAAGCTTTTGCTGTTGAGCTGAGTTCCTTATATATTTGGGTTATTAACATATATAAGCCGCATATATAGCTTGCAAATATTCCCCCCATCCTGTAGGCTGTGCTTTTACTTTGCTGATTGCTTGCTTCACTGTGCAGAGGCTTCATCAGTTGGATGAAACTCCATTTACCTATCTTTGGTTTTGTTTCCTATGCTTTGGGAGTCTGATCCAAAAACCTCTTGCCTGTTCCAGTGTCCTGAAGAATTTTTGCATATGTTTTCTCCTCGTAATTTCAGGTCTTACATTTAAGTCTTTAGTCCATTTTGAGTTGATTTTTGTACATGGTGAAAGATAGGGCTTCTAATTTCATTTTCCTACATGTGACTATCCAATTTTCCCAGCCCTATTCATTGAAAAGACCATCCTTTTTCTTTTCCTCTTTTTTTAAAATTTATTTATTATTTGAAAGCCAGAGTTACAAAGAGAGAGGGAGAGACAGAGAAAGATCTTCCATCTGCTGCTTCACTCCCCAGATGGCTGCAAATAGCCAGGGCTGGGCCAGGCCAAAGCAAGGAGCCAAGAGCTTCTTCCAGGTCTTCTATAGGGTGGCAGGGGTCCAAGTACTTGGGCCATCTTCCACTGCTTTTTTCTGGATTCCTGGATTGGAAGTGGAGCAGCTGGGACCCATATGGGATGTCCACTATGCAATAGAACTGGCCCCAAGACCATCCTTTTTCCCATCTCTGTTCTTCACACCTTTGTCAAAGATCAGTTGGCTATAGGTGCATGGATTCTTCCAGGTCTGTCCCACTGGCCTCTGTGTCTGTTTGTTTTGCTAATACCTTGGTATTTTCTTTACTAAAGCTGTACATTATATTTTGAAGTCAGTCCCACTTTGTTCTTGTTGAAGATTACGGTGGCTCTTCGGGGTCTTTTGTGATTCCAGACACATTTTAGTAGAATTTCCTTCTAGTTCTGTGGAAAGTATCATTGGTACTTGATAGGAATTGCATTGCTTTGATGTCTGGATATTCTAATGACACTGATTCTACAGAGACAGCCCACAAACCCGGGCTGGAATGCAGGCTGCGGCTTCTGTATTTAAACACTGCCGGCTGGGGATTCGCCTCCAGGACACAGCAGGCCCCTAGAGAGAGCAAATGAGAAAGGAGCATCAGCAGTGTTGACTAAACACCCCCAGTGCTGAGAGAAGCTAGGAGGAGCGAGCAAAGGAGGGGGACCTCGCGCGGCGTCACAGGGCCTTTCGGCCTTGCGGAAACGGAAGAGCAGGGTTAGACGCGGGTCAGCTCTCACCCGCCCCGCACACTCCCTCTCCGGGCCCAGGGCCCAGCACGGCCGCTGACTAACTGTTCTTGTTCCCCTCCTTCCTTTGCACCCCCGCCCCCTTGTCTTGGGCGCCCAGGAATCCTGACCTCCGTGAGGAGACGCCGCATTTCTGGTCCAAGCCAAACCAGAGAACCATTAAGAAGGGGCCTTCATTCTGGATTCTCCAATGCGACACCCACGTCCCAGCTGCGCGTACTGTCACTGATGAGAGACTGGGAAGGAAAAAGCATATATATAGAGATATATAGAGATATAGATATATATACAGGAAACACCGCGTCCGCGTGCTGCTGCTGGCGCTGCCACCGCCGTCGCCGGCCGCCACAGCCAACATCTGAACACCTACATTTCCTTTGCAGACGCATTGAAGAATTGGCGGGAATTTTTTTTTCCAGGAAAAACAAAACAAAACATCACGACAGACCACCGTATCTCGTACCCAACCCCCAGCCCACCCCGCCCTCCCCGCTGAGTGACAAAAGCAAGCCGGACCACGGTGATTGTAGAAGCACCCCACACCTGCCCTGGTGCTGCGCGCCCCAGCGGGAGTGGGGGACAAGATCGCAGCGTCCGGCGGGCGCCCACGCACATGCAAAGGAGAACACTCGTGCAGCAAGGCACGCAGTCAGGCGTTGTCCCAGAGAGGAAGGAAAGCCCCCCCCTCAGGAAGGAGGCGGGCAGGAGCACTGGGGTGTTATTTTCTGGGTGTGGGCCCTGGGCCACAGAACCCACCTTCCTCTCTTCCACACCCCTTTCCCCTCTTGTCATCTTCTGTCTCGGCTCCCCCCCCACCCCCATCGCACCCCTCTCCCCACCCCACCTGCCCCACTGGGTCCTGGTCCTGCCGAGGACCACAGATGACCACAAATGACTCTCACTTGGAAGAGAAAAAGGAGAGCGAGTGGGAGCAGGCGCACGAGGCCGTGGGGGCAGGGGACGCGGACACTGTCCACCGTCCCCGGTGAGGGTGCTGGGCCCAGCAGAGATGGGTGTGCTTTCACGATATGTAGATTACATATAACAGGAGGCGACTAGTAACATAAACAGTACTGGTGAGTATGACGCTGACATTTTAAAGTTACCATTACCTAACTGTGATTGATGTAGCCAAGGTTCCTAGATCTCGCCGGCCGGCCCCCCGCCCCGGGCGTAGTGGGCTGCCCCGACCAGACCGGCATAGTGATCCTGTGTGTGGTGTTTGTAACTGGTTGATTGGTGGGGAGGGTGGGCACTCCAGACGGAGAGGTGAGGGCTTGGCAAGAAGGAAGTCCCGGAGATGTAGTCCCGAACATGCAGGCCGACACGCCTTCTCCCCCCGCGGTAGCCGCCAGGACCTGGCCTGTGCTCAGCCGTTGGGTCCTGCCGCTGGGGTCCCCACGGCAGACGTCCCCTGGCTCGGTCCTCCTACCTCCCTAGAGGGCTTGCCTTGCTCTTCAGTCCTCTCTCTCTCTCTCTCTCTCTCTCTCTCTCTCTCTGTTTTTGTTTGCCACATGTCTTGGGCTCCCCTGACCACGCTGTGATGACTAACTCTGTATCCTAAGGGAGACAGAGCCCTTGGCCTTGGTAGAAGATGCTGGCTTTCACCAGGCCGTTGTCTTCTCTCCCCCTCGGCTCGGGGGTCTGGGTTGAAGCAGCCTTGCTAAAGAGGCCGAGGCACCTCCCCTGCCCCAGAGCAAGGAAGGTGAAAGGGAAAGGCCCGCAGCTGGGTACCTCCCACTTGGTGTGAGACCTTGGCTTTGGGGACCTCCCAGTCAGGTCGAGCTCTGAGCCCTGCCCTGAGACCACTGGGGCCCTTGGGGAGAGTCACTTCCCTGAGCTCCGCCCTGCCCCTTCTGGGGACACCTTACTTTCTCAGTCACCGCTGCTAAGGGTCGGATGCAGTCGCTCAGCCGGTGTCTGCAGAGAGCCCCGTGGGCCAGCCCTGTTCTTGACCGAAGGAGAAAGTGTGAAGAGAGGGGAGGGGCACAGGAAGCCACCGGAGCCACACCTCCGTCCCCAGTCCTGGCTGGCCCACCTAAAAGCACCTCCCACTTTCTGATCTACCGGTCAGTGTCCGGGATGCCCCCAGAGGGCCCAGGCCACAGAAACCCTCTTGGCTTGCCCATCACTTGCCCAGCACAGACCTCGGTCGGGCGAGAAACTAGAAGAGCATTTGATCTCTGCATGCAAATGGGGCTCTCAAGACAGCAGAGAGCCGTGGGCCGCTCCAAGCCCCGCTGGGCGCAGAGCCCACTTCCTGTGCACCAGGCTCTAGTCACAAACCTGGTGCAGAAGCCACAGAACCTCCTGCCTGCCCTTCTCAGCGCGAGAGGCCCGCTCTTTCTGGGCCACTCAGAATTTGCCTCGGGTACCCACTTCTGCAAGAACCGGATGTCCTGAGCACACAGGGCACCACTCAGAGGGCAGGTCCTTGTTCTGGCCTTTGCACCTGCCCCCAGCCCCTGGGGGTGGGGCTTAGGGCATAGCTTGTGGGCCGCCAGGGTCTGGGGAGGTATGCAGCCCACAGACGCATGCGCTGACCTTCCTCCCACAGTGAGGCTGGAGGCAGGCAGCGCCTCCGGGGAGGAGGAGACCTGCAAAGCTGGAATCTGGGCCACTGGCTCCTCTCCATAGAGAATACAGATGTTCGTCTCGTCTGTCTTCAACCTACTTTTCCTTTTCACTTTTTCACATTTCTCAGTCTCTCTGTGCCGCCTCTCTGCCCAGAGGCCATGTGGCACAGTGGAAAAAGTCCCCGAGCACCACCGGGAGCTCTGGGTGAGCGCCTTGGTTCAGCCCCTGGCTCGCCTCGTGATATGGGCTCGCCCCCGCCTCCCTTTCTGCCTCAGTTTCCCCACCTGCAGGATGAGCAAAGCAAGCCAGGTTTCCTCCAGGGTCTTTTTCCACTCTGCCGCCTTAGAGATCTTCGTCTCCTCTTACTTTGCTTTCTCCGGATCGTCTCCATCTGAGGGTACAGCGCGTGCCAAGGTCGGTTTGTTTTTGAGTCCTGCAAGCACATTCCAAGACTGGCCTGAAACTGCATGAGCAACATCACTCTTAAGTCATTTTTTTTTTCCCAGAAGCACCTTACCAGCCAACTGCGATGCTGTCCTGTTCCTTTCTACTCACGCCCCTCTCTCCCCTCTCGTCCCACGCTCCCCACCTCAGTGCCCCGTGCTGTATGCGTGTGCTCTCTGTTCTTGTATACTCAATAAAAGTGAAATAAATGTGTTTGATGCTGAACTGAAGACTTCCCTGGTGTCTGTCTTCTCCTTGGCTACTGATACAAGTGGGGGTGAGGGAAGGGCTCAAATGGGAAGGGAGACATATCAACTAGAACACTCAGTTTAACAAATATTTGGAGCTCAGTGTGGTCCAGGTCTTGGGTTGGGCTCTGCAGGTGCAACAGCCAACAAACGGAGCTCCTGCCTCTCGGGAATCACGGGCTCGCGAAGGAATCAGCCAACAGAACAAACAGGCAACAGCAATCCCAGGGTGCTCGGCAGCCAGAAGCCACACGCTGGGAGGTGGCACTGAAGATGACCCCTTCAGGGTGGCCAGGAGGCGACTTTTGACCTGAATTAAGAGAAAGACCAGGTAAGGGGATGAACACAGATGAGAGCTTGCTAGGGTAGGGGAACGGTCAGTCTGCGACCCTCCAGGTGTGGATGGGCAGGGCAGGTGAGCATGGTGCAGCTCTCCCTGAAAGAAGCACACCTTTGTTGGGGTCTCTTCCTGCAACCCCCGACCTGGGCACCAGCACACAGCAGTGTCCCACTGTGGCCTCAGCCCACAGCCTTGGTATGTGTTGTCATACCCTCAGCCTACCCACCCCAATGAGTGACTTATTTTTCTTTAAATTGACTTGCTGAAGAAATTATTTAAAAATGAAACTATATTCCTTCCATGTTGCTGTGGATTCATTCTGAGAGGAATGTGGTGGGGGCAAGAGGCATGAAGGTACCACACAGACCCCGGGAGCCAGATGAAAGCAGGCCAGAGGTGAGCAGCCGGCAGACTCGTTTATTTCAGTTGGTACAGCAGCTTATATAGCTGAGGCAGCCAATCCAGTCAAGGGGCGGTTTATGCCCTAACCAATCACAGCCTGTTGCCAGGCAGGCTCCACTGCCAGGTGGTTTCCCGTGGGGTGTCCCAGGGGGTTTCCAAAGTCATTCCTGAGTAACTGAGGCTGGCTTGCCAGCAGGTGCATGCCATCTTGGCATGGCCTTCTCATTCTACCACACTTCTGTAAATAGAAGTGAGTATCATTTGCCAAAGAAAAGAGGTCTTCATCAAAATACATGCAAAAGTACTAAAACCAAAATCCATGCAAAACTGAAACTCAGCCCTTGGACCGACCACTGGAGATGCACTGCCATACTTTTCGTCTTTTTGCCTTTTTTTGTTTTAAAATATTTCAAATAGTACAGAAAAATATAAAGAAGAGTGCAGTGAGTACCCATAGACTTAACAATTTTTAACCTCATATGTAAAGTATACATACTGTTTTTCTTGAAAACAGGGATATTACTATGTCATGGATTTATTGCCAGGATCATAAAGTGAGAAAAGTTATTATGTCAGGAGTATGACTCAGTGACAAAAATATCCCTAGATATGAACCAAATCATATGGGACCACACATGTGTATACTATGTGTGCATATGTACATAGTATTAAAATGTGGGTGCCATATTATGCCATATACACACACACTTCTAAATACAGGAGAAAACAGTTTGCTTTTCTGTGCTTAGTTCACTTAGCATAGTAAACTCAGTTGCATCCATTTTCTTGCAGATGCCAGGATTTCACTCTCTTTTTTATGGCTGAGTAATAGTCCATGGTGTATACATGCCACATTTTCTTTATCCAGGCATCGGTTGATGGGTATGTTGGTTGATTGCATATCTTTGCCATTGTGGATTGGACTGCAATAAATATGGGAGTGCAGCTATCTCTTGCATGTGCTGGCTTAATTTCCTTTGGCTGTATTCCCGGAAGCAGGAGAGGTGGGTCTCACGGTAGACCTGTTTTTAGCTTTTTGAGGCACATCCGTGCCACTTTCCACGCTGTCTGTACTTCCATGCCCACCGGCAGCATGCGAGTGCTCCCTGTCCTCCACCTCCTCACCAGCATTTGCTATTTTTTGACTTTTGGATGATAGCCGTTCTAACTGGAGCGAGAGGATACTTCACTATAGTTTTTATTTGCATTTCTCTGATAACTGGTGATACCAAGCATTTTTTTTTTCATGTGTTTGTTGGCCATTTATTTTTCTTCTTTTGAAAAGTGTTTACAGGGGCTGGTGCTGTGGTGCAGTGGGTTAAGCCACCACCTGCAGTGCCGGCATCCCATATGGATGCCAGTTTGGGTGCTGGCTGCTCTACTTCCAATCCAACTCTCTGCTATGGCCTGAGAAAGCAGTGGAAGATGGCCCAAGTCCTTGGGACCCTGCACCCTCGTGGGAGACCTGGAAGAAGTTCCTGGCTCCTGGCTCTGAATCGGCCCAGCTCTGGCTGCTGCGGCCATTTGGGGAGCAAACCAGTGGATGGAAGATTTTCTCTGTGTGTGTCTTTTTGCCTCTCCCTCACTCTCTGTAATGCTGCCTTTCAAATAAATAAATAAATATTTTTTTTCCATCATTGACTGCTTCCCCAGGCCATAGCAGAGAGCTGGATGAGAAATGGAGCAGCCAGGACTCCAACCAGCACCCGTGGCACTGCAGGCGGCAGCTTTACCCACTATGCCACAGCGCCGGCCCCATCAATAAATCTTTAAAAAATGCTTATTCAGATCCTTTGCGTATTTCTTAACTGATTATTTGTTATTGAATTCCCTGAGCTCCCTATATATTCTAATCCTTTATTAGATGCATGGTTTGCAAATACTTTCTCCCGTTCTGTTGGCTGTCTCTTCATCTGTTAACTTTGCTTTCGCCATGCAGAAACTTCTCAGTTTGCTATAGCCCCATTCCTCTGGTTTTGCTTTGTTGCCTGTGCTTTGAGTCCACCCTTGCATTTTTATTCTGCCAAGCAACACACCTTGGCCATTTGTCTTTATTGCCTAAACTCTCACAGGTGAGGTTGTTTTTTTCCCATATACAAGTCTATGTATTTTTTTTTGGTTGACATCTTGAACATGCATTCTAAACATTTTTTCTTTTAAAACTTTTATTGATTTCAATTTGTGGAAATAATATTTTCCCCAAAATGAGTGAAATTGCCATGCTGACAGGAACTTAGGCTGAGACAAAGCAGTAACCAGTTAGAAACAGTTTAGTGGAAACACAGGAGGAATTACAGCAGAAAAGCAATCAGAAAATACAGGCTTGGAAAGCAGTGGCCTCTGGGTCAACCTCGAGGGGAACCTTAGTGCGCCAGGGGCTGGGAAGCGGCTGCACCCTCGCCGGCCGCTCCATCCGCCTTGCGCACCCCAATGGTGTGGCCCCTCCGCGCGAGGGACGCCTACCGGACCGAGGGGTCAGCCTCGTGCTGCGCGGGGCTCGCCTCCTCCTCCCTTCCCTCGCTCGCCTTTTCCGCACGGCGACCCTGTACCGGCTCCTCCGTGGACGCCGGGCCTGGGTCTCCTCCCTCCCCGCCCTCGGGGCAGCCGGAGGAGCTGCCCGCCTCGGTTTAACTTGTTCCTCTCTAACTTCCAATTCTCAACGCGATTTCCTTTCTTTGAAGCCGCAATGCATTCAGAGACGCCAAGGGCTGTGCAGTGAAGGGTAACGCAGGACCCTCACCGCCCTCTCCCTCCCGCAGACGCAGGGGGTGGGGAGGAGGCGCCCCCTTGCATAGCCCCTGCTCTCAGGAGCGTCTAGCAGGGCCGCTGAGGCATCTGCGGGGGGAGGCCAGGGGCACTGCTAACCATCCGACCTCACACAGGACCGCTGCCTGCAGCCAAGAACGATCTGGCCGGCCGCAGTGCCAAGGGTGAGAAACGCGGCTCCCAGTGGGCGTTCCGTCTGCAAGGTGGGATTCCCCGAGCTCCACCCACAGCTTCCTTGTCCTGGGTCCAGTGCCCTGGAGTCTCTGAAAAGACAGTGGGCCCAGCCGGGCGTGGGCGCTCCGAGCCCCCAGGCCTGGGCGTGGTCTGGGGCCCGCGAGCTGAGCCCCTTCCTGCAGGCAATGGGACTGACAGACGGGCGGGGACGGCTAAGCCGGGACTGCAGCAGCTCGCCGCCGTGATTAGCCAGGACGGCAGGGCCCACCTAGCTTGCAGCCCACTGACGGCTGGCATGCCCAGCTGTCCCTGAGGAAGCGTGACTGACGAGCTAAGGTGCGGCAGGACAGCGACAAGAACAGCCTGTCAGATGTTCTTTGCGTCCTAACTGTGCCGCTCTCCGGCTGTGTGGCACCTCTGGGAGCATCCGTTTCTCCTGTAGGTTGGGAACACCAAGGCCGACTTACTGGGGCTATGGGGGAGGCAGGATTCTTCCCTCGGAGTGCACATGCGTGTCATATCTGACATATGACACCAGGCCTGGAGGCCACCGGATGGTTATGGCTGGAGGGACTGATGCGGTGACTGCTGCTGCCAGGGCTGAGCGTGACCGGAAGTGCGACTTGACCAGGACCGTGGCTGAGTCTCTGACTACTGCTACCAGGTGGCCAGGACTGCCTGAGGCTGGGGTCCGTCTGCCCAGGGTGTTACCCATTAATCAGCCTCAAGTACAGGAGAGTGGGATGGTGCCATCCCGGAACCCGACCTGAGAAGCAGTCTGCCAGCGCTCTCGTAGCCTGGGTGTGAGCACTGAGATGCAGCCAAAGAGGAGGGGAGGCCCCTCCTGCTCTCACATGTAAGCAGCAGACATCTTCATACATGATCCAACTCCTCCCCAGATGCAGAATTTAGTATTATGATGACAAAAGTGCAGCTTGACCATGAAGCTCTGATTAAAACTGGTTTCTTTTTTAAAAGTTGTATTTATTTTCACTTTATCTTTTTTTAAAGATTTATTTATTTGAAAGAGTTATAGAAAGGCAGAGGCAGAGAGAGAGAGAGAGAGAGAGAGGTCTTCCATCCACTGGTTCACTCCCAAGATGGCCACAATGGCTAGAGCTGGGCCGACTAAAGCCAGAAGCCAGGAGCTTCTTCCTGGTCTCCCACATGGGTGCAGGGGCCCAAGGACTTGGGCCATCTTCTACTGCTTTCCCGGGCCACAGCAGAGAGCTGGACTGGAAGAGGGGCAGCCGGGACTAGAACCGGTGTCTGTCTGGGATGCCGGTGCCGCAGGTGGAGGACTAACCCACTGTGCCATGGCGCCGGCCCCTCCCAAGTGGTGTCTTAACCACGGCGCCAAAAGCCTGTTCCTGAATTTATTTTTCATTGAGAGATACCAAGAGAAAGACACACACATGCACACAGAGACAGACAGAGCTCGCACCCGCTGGTTCACTTCCCAAATGCCCGCGGCAGCCAGAGCTGGGTCAGGCCAAAGCCAGGAGCCAGGAACTCCATCCAGGTCTCCCTGTGAGGTGGCAGGGACCCAAGCACTTGAGCCCTCACCTGCTGCCTCCAAGGAGGAGCATCAGCAGGAAGCTGTCAGACGTCAAGGGCTGGAATTCGACACAGGCACTCTGGTTTGGTACATGGTTGTCCCAGACAGCTTCTTAACCACCATGCCACAACACCCACCACCCACCCCCCAGACGGGCTTCTCGCAGCTTGAACTGCGCCTTGTCTGTGGTGGTCTGGTCCCCTCCGAGTGCTGTGTCCCAAGACAAGCTCTCCTGGAACATCCTCTAAAAACAAGCTCCAGAAAGTTCAGGTTCTCTGATGGCTGTTCCCGCGCCCCGCCTCCCTTTTTCAGCTAAATCCTACAGTCCTGGTTACCAAAGCAAAGGACTAGGCAAAGGACTAACTAGGTTCGTGGATTTGTCCTGGGAAGGGGATAGAAAATGTACAGCTTCAGGAAAATTGTTTTCCAAGATGCAAGAGCTAAAAAAGGAGAAAGTACGAGCCACAGAAGACAACTTTCGACCGCACGGAACCTGTAGGCCCGGGCCGTTCTTCCCGCGACCGAGGACTCCAGGGGGCCGCTTTCTCGGTCGCGCCCAACCGGCGCCCCAGCGGGAGAACTTCCGGTGCGTTTCCGCGGTACCCGAGGTTGCGGGCGGTGAGTGCGGCCTTCTGTCCTCTTTTTTTCCTCCTGTGATTTTGTGCCTGTGGCCAGCGCGCCTGTCTTCTCGGCTCGGAACCGCGGCACGTCCTGCGCTGGTTCCCCCTCGCCGGTGTGGGCCTCGCGAGGCCCTCCTGAGACGCCGCCGCCGGGGCGCCAGGCGCCCGCTGCGTGGCTTCCCCGAACCCAGCCGCTGATTCGGGCTGCACAGTGAATCGGCTGTAGTAGGCTGAGCGTCTAGCGAACGCCGGGGTGCAGACAGCCGCGAGCGTCGTGCGGGCGAGGAAGCTCCCCTGGGGAGGCGAACCTGAGCCGAGGGAGGCTTCTGCCTCGCGTTGAGGGTCCGAGAGGCCCGGGTGGCCGGAGCAGAGCGCGCGCAGGGGCCCCGACGGCGCGGGCCTTGTGGGTCAGGGCCAGGATTGGGGGCTCCCCGGAGCCGGCCGGGAAGCCCCGCGGAGGGTGTTAAGTGTGGCGGCGGCGGTGGCCGTGACGGTCTGCTCAGAGACCCGGCTCTGAGACGGGTTGTTGGGGTGCAAAGTTCCTTCGCCCGGCACCAGCTCTGGGCCAGGCCGTGTGCCAGCCGCTGCTGGGGCTCCAGGAGGCCGCGCGGGGGCAGGGAAGCCGGCTGAGGCGCACTGGTCCTGCGCATTCGGGCTAGGGGTAGGGAAGGCGAACGTACGAATTATTCGGAACAGCGGCTGTCAAGCTTCTTGACTGTGACCCTGCTGTAACAAATAGATTCCGTGTCACCACCAAATAAGTGTCCACCCAGCACCTAAAGCTTTAGAAAACAGTGCTTGTCCTCACTACTCAGGACGTAGCAGTCGGACATCCTATCAGTTCTGTTCTTTTCACTTAAGAAAAGGAGTGCCGGTTGAGACCTTCTCAGTTAATTTCTTAACCCATTTTGAACTTTGAAAAAAAAAAAAGGCGGATTTGCAGAGTCCTTTCTAGTAGTGATAAAATAGCTCTTAGTGTTCTTGGAAAGGGGCTGGGCTTCCTTTCTGCGCTCTTTGAGTGTTTAAAATTGAAAGTGTGGACAGAGGGAAACCGGAGGCCGAGTTTTCTGGGGACTTGTGATGTCTTACTGGGTTGTCTGGCGACACTGGAAGCAGCGGGAGGGCATTAACTGCTACTTGCTGGGTGTTTCTTCTGGGGCCCAGTGCAGGCGCTCAGGGAGTAGGCGTTGGGTTGAGTAGGTGGGTCTCCTAGGGCTGGGAGACTAGGTAATTGATGGGTTTGAATCAGTTCCACTGCAGCCATTGGTCGAGGCAGAGGCCGCTTGTGCCTGCGGGGGTTTAGCAGCGTCTGCCCGTCCCCACGGCAGGACAGAGGCAGGTGAAGGAGGTGTAGGTGTTCTAGCGCTTTCTCTTCCCTGTACCGTCCTAGGTCAGCCCTGCCTCCCGATCCGTCCTGGAGGAATGCGGGCCCTTCAGGAGGTTGTCTCACTCCTTGGAGTTCGGGTTTTTAATGAGTGAAAGAAGGGATCTGGGGTTGAAAAGCTTCCACTCCGTCAGCCTTTTGTGAATTTTAGGTGCTGACGGGAACTCCGTGTGTCCTTGACTTAATCCTTCTCAAACCCTCTGGGACTCCGGCGACAGGTTTGAGGCAGGATTATAGTTTAAGATGATTCAGGAGTATTTGAGGATGAACCATCCAGGCTTTTTCTACCCTCATCCTCTGTTGTAAGAGAGATGGGGAGTAGATCCAAGTGGACAGCAGAAAGGACGCTGGCCTGCAGGGGGTACATGGTTGCTGACTGGGGTCCTTAAGTGCCCTGGAACATTCCACTTTTCGTTAGCTGGTGTCTCGCTAGCTGTCAAGTGAGTGCTCTTGTTTGTTAAATCAAAATGCAAAAATACCCTTCTGTCTCCTTGTTATGTTCCTTATCTGTGAGACAGATGCAGGGTGTCGTGAGGATTCGGGAGATAATCGGGTCAGGCGTCTAATCCGGTGCCTGGCGCGTGCGGAATGCCCAGCATCCTCCTTGCAACTCCTGATTCGCTCTAATGTCCTTCTCTTTCAGCTGTTCCGGAGCACAAGAGGGAAGGGGTTCCTTTCGGTCACCCGCCGCTGGCCCAATGGCTGCCATGCAGATGGATCCCGAGTTAGCCAAGTGCCTCTTCTTTGAAGGGGCCACTGTGGTCATCCTGAACATGCCCAAGGGGACAGAGTTTGGCATTGACTACAACTCCTGGGAGGTGGGGCCCAAGTTCCGGGGCGTGAAGATGATCCCACCGGGCATCCACTTCCTACACTACAGCGCTGTGGACAAGGCCAATCCCAGGGAGGTGGGCCCTCGTATGGGCTTCTTCCTCAGCCTGCAGCAGCGGGGGCTGACTGTGCTGCGCTGGAACACAGTCCGGGAAGAGGTGGACCTGTGCCCAGCCCCAGAGGCCGAAGTGGAAGCCATGAGGGCCAATCTCCAAGAGCTGGACCAGTTCCTGGGACCTTACCCCTATGCCACACTGAAGAAGTGGATCTCACTCACCTCCTTCATCAGTGAGGCCACCGTGGAGAGGCTGCAGCCTGAGAGCCGGCAGATCTGTGCCTTCTCAGACGTGCTGCCTGTGCTCGCCATGAAGCACACCAAGGACCGGGTGGGCCAGAATCTGCCCCAGTGTGGCACAGAGTGTAAAAGCTACCAGGAGGGCCTGGCCCGGCTGCCCGAGATGAAGCCCAGAGCCGGGACAGAGATCCGCTTCTCAGAGCTGCCCACGCAGATGTTCCCGGCAGGGGCCACGCCGGCAGAGATAACCAGGCACAGCATGGACCTGAGCTATGCCCTGGAGATGGTGCTCGGCAGGCAGTTCCCCGGCAGCCCCCAGGACGTGCTTGGTGAGAGGAGCGTGGCTGTGTGGGAGTGGGCGGGGAGAATGTCAGTAGGGGTACATGTGGATGCAGTGGTGTGCGGGGTTTAACCTGTCCAGGAGACAGACTCACACGGTATTCCCCTGGTACGGAGGTATCTTACTCTTTACGCTGAAGGTTTTGATTGGAGACTGGGACTAGGGTTCCAGTAATTGATCTGTTCGTCTGGGTACCTAATAAACATTCTAGGTGAACCTGGTGCCGGTGTTCCTGTGTTTGGGAACCACTGATGACCTAGCCCTATAGGGAGAAGGCTTTGGCCAACTAAGTGGTCAAACTGGGACTGGAGCCCTGGGCTCTTGGTTCCTAGGCTAGACCTTTGTTCCTGCTTCCTCAGTGTCCCTGACCTGCAGGATGTTATTCTCCTTGCTAGCCCACACCAGGCCACTGCCTTTGTAAAAAAACTGTTATGGTTTTTACTATTGCTTTCCCCGTTGTTAAAATGTATGTTCATCATAGAACAAAATTAACTTCATTCCCTATCCCATCGCCTAGAAATAACCATTTTTTATTTTGATGTGTTTATATTCCTTTTTCATCTGTGCATCTCTGTTTATTTCATTTCATTTTTTGTCTTTCTGTGTGATTCCTTTTACTCTTTTAAAAATTCCATTGTGTTTAGGTTTGTATGTGACTTTTTACAAAAACAGGATTAAAATCCTTTGTTTTCTGATTTCCCAGGTCACTGAGTACAGTGGCTACTTGGTGTTCTGCAGTTCCCAACCAATTTTCTGTTGATGAACCTTGTCTTCCTCTCTCTATTATAACTGTTGCCTGATGAACCCTCTTGTGGTGCTTAACGCATAAGTTTGGGGTTCAAAGTGCTGGGTGTTGGGTGTGCAGACCAGGGGTCGGAGGCTGCCACCGTCACCTGTGACAGCACTGAGCGTGGCAGGTCAGCAAAGGCCACTGCCAGCTGGGTGATTGGAAAGTGGTTTCTGGTTTCTATTTTTTTCAATGCTAATAACAGCAAACATTTGTCACATCCTTAACCGCTGTTTATATATATGTATGTTTTTTTTTTTTACAAATTGTCCAGCTAATTTGCATATCTTCCTACTGGAAGACTGATGATAAATTTGAATAAAGGATTTTTCATCATTGACTCAGCTGATATATGGGACATTTTAATGAGTGCAAATGATTGCATTCCCTAGTATTTTCATCTAGTAAGCAACATTTGAAATTCCAGCTTAAAATTAAATAGAAACCCTGTTTTCTACCTGTTAAACATTTCAATTCTGCAGAATATTATCTTGTGAAAAGCTCTTATACATGTTAACTATATTTTTCAGCTCTTTGAAATGATTTCTGATGTCATAATTATTTATTTTTAAATATTTATTTATTTATTTGGAAGTCAGAGTTACACAGAGAAAGAGAGAGAGAGAGAGAGAGGTCTTCATCTGCTGGTTCACTCCCCAGTTGGCCGTAATGGCCAGAGCTGCGCTGAAATGAAGCCAGGAGCCAGGAGCTTCTTCTGGGTCTCCCAAGTGGGTGCAGGGGCTAAAGGACTTGGGCCATCTGCTGCTGCTTTCCCAGGCCATAGCAGAGAGCTAGATCGGAAGAGGAGCAGCCGGGTCTCAAGCTGGCGCCTGTATGGGATGCCTGCAATGCAGGCAGCGGCTTAACCCACTATGCCACAGCACCATCTCCCATAATTTATTTTATTTTATTTATTTTATTTATTTTTTTGACAAGCAGAGTGGACAGTGAGAGAGAGAGACAGAGAGAAAGGTCTTCCTTTGCCGTTGGTTCACCCTCCAATGGCCACCGCGGCTGGCGCGCTGCGCTGATCTGATGGCAGGAGCCAGGTACTTATCCTGGTCTCCCATGGGGTGCAGGGCCCAAGTACCTGGGCCATCCTCCACTGCACTCCCGGGCCACAGCAGAGAGCTGGCCTGGAAGAGGGGCAACCGGGACAGAATCCGGCGCCCTGACCGGGACTAGAACCCCGTGTGCCGGCGGCGCAAGGTGGAGGATTAGCCTAGTGAGCCGCGGCACCGGCTTCATAATTTATTTTTAAATGATACTAGAAATGGATGCATTCAAGTAAATTCCCTAAATGCAAAGAAGTTTCACAAACTGATCAGGAAAAACCAACTGCAGAAGCAAATCATTAACCTCAATTTTAGAATGAAAATGTGATTATACTTTGAAAATATTGGTCAGATGTCCAGAATATCTAGACCAGGTAGCCACTCACACAAATCAAACTTTGTTCTCCAAGCTTAGGGACGGGAATCTAGTTGTTCAGGTCTCTGAGGGATGACAGAGCTCAGGCGCTATGTAGTGAAAGGTACTTGGTGGTGAGTGCGTCTGTTCTTCTCACGGCCCGCTTGTGTGCATGCCGCCAAGGCCACACAGGTGCTAGGAAGTGGCGCTAAGGTTTGAGTTCAGGCAGTTTGGTGACAGAGCCCATGCTCTTAGCCACCAAGCTGCGCGAGAGTCAGGCACAGAGCCCTGTGATTAAACACACAAAAATGATCTGGAATAAGTCCTCCTGAGTCTTCCTGTTCTTCGAGTCTCTGGAACTGTTCTCACCCGATGGAGAATCTGCTTTCACTTCCCATTGTACTAATTGTGAAGCATTAGATGTGTGGCTGTGTGCAGGCCTTGACCTCATCTAGAAAAGGAAGCACATAGCACCTCCCCGATCACCTTGTGGAGTGAGGTGAGGGATGTCTGGTGGAATGCTGCATATCCCTGACCTTGGAGCAGGGTCATCTGCATCGGAGTCACCTGGGGCGCTCGTTAGAGCCACAGCCAGGGTCACACAGGGCCCGTCATCTCGCTTCAGCCCCGGGAGCATCAGGCTTGGGCAGCTTTGCCTTGAACATGCTGTCCTAGTAACCTGAGGGCATCCCGGTGTGGGATCTACTTGGCATAGTATCCATTGACACATTTTGTCAAGTTTTAAAATGCCAGCAGAGATAGGAGTACCTCTTCTCTTACAGTTTGATTTTATAGAAACTTAAAGCAACACTTTGGTCTTTCAAGGCACTTAGTGAGCACCTTCTGTATGCTGAATCCCAGACTAGGCTTTGTGGGAGTGACAGGGATAAAACGTCATCCATTGCTGAGGTCCGGTGGAACTGACCTTGTGAAGGGTGTGCAGTAGTGTCTGCTGGCACTCTTGGCCCTTGGGGTCATTTTTCCTCTGCGTCTTCCAGGTGAACTCCAGTTTGCCTTTGTGTGCTTCCTGCTGGGGAATGTGTACGAGGCATTCGAGCACTGGAAGCGGCTCCTGAACCTCCTGTGCCGGTCAGAGGCAGCCATGGTGAAGCACCACGCCCTCTACGTCAACCTCATCTCCATCCTGTACCACCAGCTCGGCGAGATCCCTGCCGACTTCTTTGTGGACATCGTCTCCCAGGACAACTTCCTCACCAGCACCCTGCAGGTGAGCAGCTGTGGCTGACCTCCGTGGGCCAGAGTGGAGGCAAGGGTGCGGAGGCAGCCTCTGGAGCGTCCCTCTTGATCTCTTGCTCGGCTCCTGTGACCCACAGGCTTCTTAACTCCAGTTCCTTCACTTGGGATGCTTCCTGGCGTCCCTCTCCAATTCCGTTGTAGATCCTCCATCGGCGACGCCCTGTGGAGCCCCGCCCCGCCTTGCCTCCAGAGGCCTGGCACTGGGGTTCTTGCAATTTGAATCCCCTCCGCTCTTGTGGTTACTCAGCTCAGAACAGCTTTTCGTCCTCCCGTAGCTGCGTTTGCCGCAACCCAGCAGGGCAGAGTGTCGAAGCTTGTTATTCCCAGTGAACCATCTGCAGCTCCTTAGATCTCATTTAAGCAGTAAAGTAACTGTGATTTCCTGTTCAAACAAAATGTGCCAGTTTCTGCGGAGATTCTGACAGAAAAAGTGGAATTTGCTTTTAACTTGGCAATTAAATTTTCATTATGAGTGGTAATTAGGGAAGAAGCTTCAAACAACTCACAGTCTTCATCCTGTGCTGTTTCCTCCCTGTGCAAACAGATTACTTTCCTTTTTGTACTTGGGACAGCCTCTGTCACTCGTGTCTTGTAACTTTCTTATGTACAGAAGAGACCAAAGTGGCCAGTTCTAAGTTTCCATACGATGTGTCCCTGTGTGTGAGACCCCCCTGCCCGTATAACGTGACAGTTCACTTAACCTCCCACTCCTACCGCAGCTAAGAGAAGGAACGAGTGAGCACTCATTAATGCCTGTTGGGTAGCAGGCGTCATATGTGTCGTGATAGATGTGTCCCCTCATTTAATCTCTGGAACCCGGGAGGGCAGGAGGGATTGTTCCTGATTTACAAATGAGAAAAGCAACTCAGAGAGGTCGATTATGTATCTGATTTCACACAGCTAGTATGAGGAAATCAGGATGTGTGCCCAGCCTGAATTCTGGTTTCCTGCCTGTGCTTCTGCCCCAGTGTTACTGAACACAGTGACTGACTGCAGTGGAGACACTGGCAGGGCCTGGGGCTCAGGTCCAGACCACTTTTCTGAAGCTGGGGTACTGCTGGGAGAGTCCCTGTGAGCAGGAAGCTGGCTGCAGCTGTGGGAGTTATAGGACTCGTGCAGGCCCTAGGGATGAGCCAGTCAAGCTGACACCTTGTACCTGGTATATTCCAGTTCACGAGTTAAAACTGTCCTTTATATTGGTTCTTTTTTTTTTTTTTTTTGGACAGGCAGAGTGGACAGTGAGAGAGACAGAGACAAAGGTCTTCCTTTGCCGTTGGTTCACCCTCCAGTGGCCACCGTGGCCGGCGCGATGCGGCTGGCGCACCGCGCTGATCCGAAGGCAGGAGACAGGTGCTTCTCCTGGTCTCCCATGGGTGCAGGGCCCAAGCACTTGGGCCATCCTCCACTGCACTCCCAGGCCACAGCAGAGAGCTGGCCTGGAAGAGGGGCAACCGGGACAGAATCCGGCGCCCTGACCGGGACTAGAACCCGGTGTGCCAGCACCGCAAGGCGGAGGATTAGCCTAGTGAGCTGTGGCACCGGCCCTTTTATTGGTTCTTGATAGAGAATTACGTCCCTAATTCTTCCTCGTGGGGTAATCCCCCCGTTACAGGCTGTGGAGCTGCGGGAGCAGGCATCAGCCTGTTAACTTGTCTCTGGCAGTGGCTGTGCCCGAAGGAATGATGTGCTCCCCTCGTGACGTGAGCCGATGCTGTCGCACACAGGAGGGCCACAGTGCTGCTGGCTGTCCCTTCCGCCGTCAGCACAACCAGCAGCTGAGCTCTAACTGCCGCGGCTTTGTTGCCAGCAATGATTTACAAAGCAGAAACGGCCCAGCTGGATTGCTAGATACCCAGGTGGGTGGTGCAGAGCTGATGGTTGGAAAATTCTGTTTTGGACTTTTTACCATGTCATTATTTAGAGAAATCCAGGACATGTGCTTTTTTTTTTTTTTTTTAAGATTTATTTATTTACTTGAAAGGCAGAGCAGAGTGGCAGAGGCAGAGAGAAAGGTCTTTGCTGGTTCACTCCCCAGATGGCCACATGGCCGGATCTGTGCCAATCAGGAGCCAGCAGCTTCCTCTGGGTCTCCCAAAGGGGTGCAGGGGCCCAAGCACTTGGGCCATCTGCCACTACTTTCCCAGGCCATAGCAGAGAGCTGGATCGGAAGTGGAGCAGCCAGGACCCGAACCAGCACCCATACGGGATGCTGGCACTGCAGGTGGTGGCTTCAGCCGCTACGCCACAGTGCTGGCCCCATGTATGTAAGCTTTTAAAGACAGCCACATTAGCATGGATAAAATCAGCCATGTAATGGCCTCAACCATTAATTTTCTTTTCACTTTGCTATGTGAGGCCCTTTTGAATGGATGCCACTGGTTTTACAAATCCCTTGGATTTAGCTTGAATAAATGTTGTTTTACAAAAATAGATAGGTTTTTTTTTTATTTAAAGCAACTTAAGTCATCATAATTCATTTAAAACCAATGAGAGGATAATCTGCATTTAATAGTATGTTAGAGTGAGTTCTGTACAAAGTAAGAGCTTATATAGCCACTTGCATAGCATTTCAGTATACAGCCCGTAACCTGTTTTTCTTTCTTTAATATCCGTTTAGCCACAATAGGCCATAGGTATTTTCCAGCTGCATTTCTTGCCAGTGTTCCAGATGACCGTGTCCATCTGTGACTCTCCAGGGGAAACACTGACTCTGACAGTAATGGCTGGAGTATTTTTATCCTCACACCAGCTGTGATGAATGCATTGGCCTCCTCCTACCCTACCTGCTATCAGCTATCACCTTGGCATGCTTTATGTGTGTTCTCTCATTTAGGCCTCACCGCGATGCTAGAAGTTGTACAGGAAACTGGCTCAGAGAGGTCACATAATTTTGTCCAAGGTCAGCAGAGGTAGTAGGTGGATGGCAAGGCTAAGCTTTGGAATCTACAGTCTGTATTGGACTCCCCACATATGATTAGAGCCCAGCGTGTGAACATCCCAAATTCTTCTTTGGTGTTTTTACAATTTTATTTATTTGAAAGGCAGAGTGTCAGGAAAGAGGGAGAGTCAGAGATTGTCCCTCTGCTGGCTCATTCCCCAAATGGCTACAGCAGTGGAGACTGGTCCAGGCCAAAGCCAGAAGCCTGAAACTCTGTCTGGGGCTCATGTGTGGGTAGCAAGAACCTAAGTACTGGGCCATCCCCTGCTGCTTTTCCAGGCACATTAGCAGGGCACTGGATCAGAAGTGGAGCAGCCAGGACTTGAACTGAACCGGCACTCTGATATAGATGCAGGTGTCAAAGGCAGCAATACCAGCCCCCAGCCCAAATTCTTTAAACTGACTCAGAAAACAGTATTCCTGCTGCTTTTCAGGTCGCTGTGAATCGATGGTCTTGATTTTATCACCACTTTCTGCTGCAAGTGGAAAGTGTTTTACCTGTGGGTAGTTTCACTCTAAATTGAATAATCATTTGGGAATTGAAAAAAAAATCAGAAATTTCATTTCTGTTCTAGCTAAAAAAAAAAATAGGCTAAGATAGGGACTTGGCTGTCTAACTTGATGTTCTGGCTTTCTCAAAGCGACCTGACTTGAACTCAGTATGTTCAACTTGAATTTTAAAAAGACTCTGTTGATGACTAAAATACTTTAAAAATTTTAATACTTTAATGATTGAAGTTTTAATTATATATATTTGAGGGGCCGGCGCTGTGGTGCAGCAGGTTAATGCCATGGCCTGAAGCACCGGCATCCCATATGGGCACCAGTTCGAAACCCAGCTGCTCCACTTCTGATCCAGCTCTCTGCTGTGGCCTGGGAAAGCAGTAGAAGATGGCCCAAGTCCTTGGGCCCCTGCACCCACGTGGGAGACCCGGAAGAAGCTCCTGGCTTTGGATCGGCACAGCTCCGGCCGTTGCGGCCATTTGGGGAGTGAAGACCTCATCGGGTGGAAGACCTCTTTCCCTCTCTCTGCCTTTCCTCTCTTTGTATAACTCTGACTTTCAAATAAATAAATAAATCTTTTTTAAAAAATTATATATAATTTGAAGAAAAACACCTAATGAGGGTGCTTGTTTAGAGAAATCCATTTGTTCACCAAATGTTATCATCCCATTGCGAAAGTATTTTTTAAATATCCAGGATTCATCTGCCGACATTAAGTTGATTCATTTCTCAGTCATATTAAAAAATGTTCACTGGATTTCACTTATTTTTTTTAAAAAAAGATTTTTTTTTTTTTTAATTTGAAAGAGAGTTACAGAGAGAGGCAGAGACAGAGAGAGAGGTCTTCCATCCGCTGGTTCACTCCCCAGATGGCCACAACAGCCGGAGCTGTGCCAATCCAGAGCCAGGAGCCAGGAGCTTCTTCCGGGTCTCCCTCATGGGTGCAGGGGCCCAAGGACTTGGGCCATCTTCTACTGCTTTCCCAGGCCACAGCAGGGAGCTGGATTGGAAGTGGAACAGCTGGGACTAGAACTGGTGCCCATATGGGATGCCAGTACTTCAGGCCAGGGCTTTAACCCACTGTGCCACAGCACTGGCCCCTGGATTTCACTTTAATCGATAAAATAAGCAGATCGTTATTAATTTTTCTGAAAAAGTCATAAAATTAATCAGAGAATAAATTATTGCTTGGAAATTAATTACTTTTTAAACCTCCCCTTTTCTGAATTGTAATTATGAAACTTTTAAAACATGAAATTTGTGAAATTAAGAGGTCAAGAATAGATCAGTGGGGCCAGCACTGTGGCATAGCAGGTGGAGCCACTGCCTGCAGTACCAGTATCCCATATGAGCGCCGGTTTGAGTCCTAGCTATTCCAATTCTTATGCAGCTCTCTGCGACGGCCTGGGAAAGCAGCAGAAGATGGCCCAAGTTCTTGGGCCTCTGCACCCGCCTGGGAGACCTAGAGGAAGCTTCTGGCTTCTGGCTTTGGATCAGTCCAGGTCTAGCTGTTGTGGCCACTTGGGGAGTGAACCAACAAATGGAGGAATTCTCTGTCTCTCTGCCTTTCAAATAAATAAATCTTTTATTTTTTTTTTTAAGATTTACTTATTTATTTGAGTTACACAGAGAGAGAAGGAGAAGTGGCCGGGGGAGTCTTCCATCCGGTGGTTCACTCCCCAATTGGCCACAACAGCCAGAGCTGCACTGATCCAAAGCCAGGAGCTTCTTCTGGGTCTCCCACGCGGGTGCAGGGGCCCAAGGATTTGGGCCATCTTCCACTGCTTTCCCAGGCCACAGCAGAGAGCTAGATTGGAAGTGGAGCAGCCAGGACCTGAACCGGCACCCATACGGGATGCTGGCACTGCAGGCGGTGGCTTTACCCACTACGCCACAGTACCGGCCCCATAAATAAATCTTAAAAAAAAAATAGATCAGTGGGTGCCAGGGACTTGGTATGAAGGGAGGGTTTGACAGCTAAGGGGCAGCAGTATGGAGTTTTCTGGGGTGATGGCTACACAAGTCTGTATGGGCCATCAGGCTCAGAGCTAGATACTGAAAGGAAACCCTCTATGTTTATCATGTGGTGGCTGCGTGTGAATGAGTGAATTTAATTATGTGTATATTATGCCCCAATAAGGTTGATTTGTGTGTGTGTGTGTGTGTGTGTGTGTGTGTGTGTTTTAAAAAGGTCAGCCTGGGCGATGCCCTGGGCCCTGGAGGCCTGCAGAGCGCCTGCCTCCAGAGCAGCCGGCCTCCCTATAGGAGTGCTGAGGCCAGCCATCCAGGGGACTGTACCTCTGTAAGACAAGGGGGCTCGGAGGGGAAGGAGTGGACTGAGCTCCCTGCTGGACGGGGTTCTGCTCAGCGTCTGCCGCCGCGTGACGCAGCACACCAGGCATCCTCGCCTGTGCAGTGGGAATAGTCATCTCCTGTCCTCCTACCTCCCCGGCTTGTAGTAAAGAGTAAGCTGACAGGTTCTTTAAAAAGGACCAAGCACTTTTCAAATTAGAAGCCTTATTTTTTAGACTGAAGGCTTCTGTCGTACCCGCCTCTAGTTGATTTTACTCCCAGGCAGTGCTTGAAAGATGGGTGGGGAGGGTGGGTGATGAATGTGAGCCCAGCTCCTTCCAGCCTCGCACTGCTGGCCAGTGCCAAATGTAGAGCAGTTCCTGTGTCTCATTCACAGTGTTGAGGGAGCAGCCCGGGCGCCCTGATTCTTCGCTAGGCCCAGGGCAATGTGATATATTACGATATGACAATCGTGCCTCGGTCCCTGCTCTTAAAGGGTACAGATCGCTGTGATACAAGCACGGCATGAGAATGCAGTACAGGAGGCCCAGGCCCAGTGCGGGGAAACAGAGCAGTTCATTTGAGCGTGGGCCTTTCTGACGGGCATGTCCCAGGGGACTTGTGGGCCGGCAGCATGAGGGGCCTGGTAACCAAGCTGCCCCCTCCCTGGGGTGAACTGCTCTCCAGCACATCAGCTCTTCGAGCATGGTCTGGTGTCAGGCACTGTGCAAAGAAGCACAAACAGGTTTTCCAGGAACCAGTGGTCTTTGTTCTTCTGTTCACCCTTGCCCACCGTGTGCCAGGGAGCTATGCCGGAGCCCTTGGGCCTCATGGGCAGGATCAACAGGAAACGACCTGTTACCTCACTGAGACTAGGGCCGTGATCCGGGTATCCCTGGGTGTTGGAGCACAGAGGAACAGTCTGTTCCATCTGAGCCGAGCGGGAGTCACAGGTAGAAACCGGCCGGTGAAGGGGAAGAAAGCAGAGGGAAGGGACCAGCGCTGGCACGTAGCAAGGCACTGGGGAGACCTGAGCACGTGTGGCCAGCTGTTCTACATGGCCGTAGAGAGGCAAGTACAGGTTACTGTGTAAGAAACAGGAAGAGGTTTTTGCTTATTCAGCCTAGCAGGTTCCCCACCACCTTTGGGGTCACACCCATGGGTGCAGGCCTCCAGAGCCAATGCCATTTGAATGAAGTTTCCCTGGCACCCAGGGCAGGGTCCATTAGCTGCCTGCAGACAGGCTAACTGCTGGCTTCCCTACTGCCCTGAGATCCCACAGTCCCTCTAATGAGTTATCGATCTGCCATTTGCTGTGGCTACACTTCCCACTCCTGTCTAGTCTATTCCCAAGTTGTTGAAGCCAAATTCTGTTCCTCATCCCCCATCCCATCACTTTGCCTCTGCTACTGCCACCACCAGCCCCCCAGAGTGGCTCCAAGGCTGCTGACAGGAGGAGGGAGAAGCAGCTGGCAGAGTGCTGTGCTTGGATCAGCTGCAAGTCCGCCAGAGCGAGGCGGGGCCCCAGAGCCCAGAACCCTTCCTTGGTGGTCTGAGGGCCAGCTGTGGATCAAAGAGCTGCGGCCAACTCCCGTGTCTGGGGGTGGCCTGGGAAAACCCCGCCTTCCTTCCCTGCTGGACGGCCACGGCCCAGTCACTTCCCTCTCTCAGCCTCCTTTCCTCCTGAGAGGCATTCTGGAGTCTTCTCACTTGGGTACTCTGAACCTTTTCTGAAATCAGTAAGATGGTGTAAAAAGGAGTAACGAGATTGCTAGATCCTTAGAAGGGACTGTGATCTGGCACAATCTGGAGTGGGGTTTCAGATGTGGAGAAAATGGCTCTTCTCCCCCGCCAGTGTTTGCATTATGAGAACGTCAAAGTAAGGGAGTAATACCTAGAATGAGTCAAGACCTCCTGTACCTCAACAGCAACAACAGCCCAGTTAAAAGGGGCAGCGGGCTTAAACAGTCATTCGCCAAAGAAGATAGACCTAGGCATGGCCCATACGTCCCTGTCATTAGGAAAATGCAAATAAAAACCACAGTAAGCTTAACCTCAGGCCCATTATAAAATTAAACAGCAGTAATAACTGGAATTGTCTAGGACATGGTGAAAATGAAAGCTCTGTGCACTGTTCGTGGGAATGCAAGATGGCGTAGCAGCTATGTGAAAATAGTGTGGTGGTTCCTCAAAAAACAAAGCCCAGAATGGCTGTGCCAAGTGACCCCACGTGTGAGCTGTCCCCGAGAGAAGCGAGAGCAGAGCCGGTGTTCGCATGCCTGAGTTCACAGTAGCATCAGGCCCACAGCCGGAGGCGCAAACAGCCCTTGCGTCCACGGCCGGTGAAGGTCGGAGCCGGCCACGTGGGGGAGCATCGCTCGGCCGCGGAGAGGCAGGGGATTGCAGCACTGTGGCAGTGTGGATGGGCCGTGAGGACATGTCACGAGAGGACAGATGTCACAGAATTCTGCCTCCGCGGAGCACCTAGATGGGTCACCTTCATAGAAGGGTCACCTTCATAGTCGAGCTTGGGGTAGGGGGTGTCGGGGCTGCGGAGGAGACATCAGCGAGCTTACATTAATGGGGGTGGAATTTCCACGGGGGAAGATTAAAGTTCTGGGGACAGGCAGTGGGATGGTTGCCCAACAGTGGGAGTGTGTTTAACGCCACTGGACTGTGTGCTTAGTGGTTAAAATGGTGAACATTGTGTCTGTTACTACAATTAAATAAGAAATTGGGCATCAGAGACGGCGTTTAAGGGGGGTGGAAGCCTCAAACTGGCAGCCCATGGCAGGTTGAGGAGACTGGAGCAGCAGTTGAGCTCCTGGCTTAGGGCCTGGGACTTCGTGTGATCCGTGCACTTACACACCCTCGGCCCCGGGGTCTTCTCACCACCAGCTGCCGTGGCAGCTGCCTCTTCCTCTGAGCTACTGCCCAGTGGATCCCCCCGGGGGCAAGGCTGGGGTGACGGCGCCGCTGGCCCTCCTGCCATGGGCAGCTCTGCCCTTCCAGTCCTGCCCCGGCACCTCAGCAGGGTTTGGACCTTCTGTCTTGGTTGGGGGTGGGGTGGGAAGGGGAGCGCAGCAGGTGTCCTGGGCCTGTGCCTGCAGCAGCTGCTCTGCCAGCCTGGAGGGCTGAACACACGGGGAATTTCCACAGCTCTCCGGCCCCCTGCGTGTTCTGAGAGTGACTGGTCCTCTGTTCTCTCTAGGTTTTCTTTTCCTCTGCCTGTAGCACTGCTGTGGATGCCACCCTGAGAAAGAAGGCAGAGAAGTTCCAGGCTCACTTGACCAAGAAGTTCCGCTGGGACTTTGCTGCGGAGCCTGAAGACTGTGCTCCGGTGGTGGTGGAGCTCCCTGAGGGCACCAGCACCGGCTGACCAGGGGCGCTGGCGCCGGGCACGCCCGTTCCCGCGTGGCTGCAGCCCTGGCCTCTCCACTCGCCCCTTCCTGTCCTTGGAACAGCCAGGGCAGTGCTCCTGCCGGTCTGCAGAGATGGAGCCAGTTCCCTCCGTCACCAATAAATAAGTTCCTTCCTTGCCAAGGAGTCTCCCGGGCCTCGAGGTACATTTGTGGGTTCCCTGTCAGCCTGGCCATGGTGCTACCCTGACTGAGTTTCAGACCGGCTCTTAGAGCGGCTCCCGAGATCCGCCTCAGCCACGGCTTCGCTCCTGCCGCTGGGAGGTGTGTGCTCCAGGCCGCGGCACAGATGGCGCCCGCACTGCCCGGGGTCTGTGAAGTCAGATGGGGAGACGAGCCAGAGTCTGCCGCTCCCTGACTAGGGCAGCACATGGGCTCTCAGCTCCCGGAAGCCCTGCACTGGGAGGACAGTGGGCTTCGTCTGACCAGTAGTGGTCAGCTCTGTGTCCTGGCCTCGGGCCCCAGCGGCTCACCTCCTAACCGTGGTTTGGCCCCTGCCTGCGGCCTCCGACCCAGAAGTAGAGCTTGGCAGCCCTCCCCGATGTCCCCAGAACCTCCAGGACTGCTTCTGTTGACCTGACACTGAACACAAAGAAAGGTTCTTGCCCTGAGCAGACCTCGCGGGCCCTGGTGCGGTTCCCTGCCCCTCCTGGTGCTGGAGATGGCCCGGGCAGCCTGCGTCTTGCCGGCCCTGCTGTGGAGCTGTCAGTCATCAGGAGCGACGTTCCTGGCTTTCCAGAGGCCCGCAGGTGAGCCCACCCTCCTGTGTGGGCGGAGTTCTGTCTAGGCAGGCACACAGGCCCCACTGCCCTGCCAGACTGGGGCCGTGATCTGAGTCCTTGCCTTCCTGTGGGGCTCACGCCGGGTCCTTGAATGGGAATCCCTGCTGGTTAAGATTTCTGGTTCGCCTTGTTTCCTTGGAGATGTTTTTCCAAGAGGATAATGTACATTAAAGTCTTCGAGTCGAGACCAAATCCCCCTGTGTGACGCTGTCTTGCAGTTAATCTGCCCAGTTCCCAGAGCAGCCCAGCCACTTCCACAGTCACCCGTCTCCCACCTGCACCCCAGTGTTGCCTGCGCTGCCCCGTGAGGCTGCTGACGGGCACACCCAGGAAGGAAGCAGTGACCAGAAGTGTGCAGTCCTTCCCAGGCCCACGCACCAGAGCTTCCTGGGAAGCTTGTTAGAAATGCAGATTCCATGGAGGAACGCCCTGACACGCCACGCCACACCATGCCACGCATGGCACTGCAAACTCCGTGCTCCAGTGGAGACGCCAGACACGGTCCCTTTCTCTGCGTGTCCACAGGGCGCGGGGAGGGCTGCTGCTGGCTCGGGGTTCTCTCGGGGGGTGACGATGCTGGCATCAGATGGTGAGACCACTGAACGCGTGCACATTTCTGAGGCTCGGGAGTGCCCACTCAGTGAGAACTGCCCAAGTGCAGGCACCGTGAGTGGTTCTGAGGTTGCCCAGAGGGAAGCCACGTGACCCGGAGGTCCCCGACGGCCTGGCACGTGGCACCCAGCACTCTGGAGGACAGCGCTGGACCTCCTCACTTCCCCAGCACTCCCCACTCCCACCAGTACCCCGTGTGGTAACAGAGCCTGCGCCACGAACACGTACGGGTCAGACGAGGACGGCCGCTGGGGGCTGCGTGCTCCACCCTTCCCTCCCCTCCCCACCCCCCAACAGCACGTGCTTCGTTCTGCTGAGGGGAAAATGGGCTCCGAGAGCTTCAGTCACTGCCAGGGTCACACAGCTGAGGACCGAGCACAAGCGCCGTGTCCATGCCCACTGCCGACCACACGCGTCCAGGGCAGCCATCCCCTCTGCCCACCGCCAGTCCACTGGGGGACCTTGCGTGAGCCGCTGGAGTTCTCTGGGCCTCAGTCCGGCTGGGACTCGACGTGTCCATTACTCTTCCTGCCCCTTGTGTGACTAGCTGTTTCCCAAGGGGAAGCTGCATTTACACAGGGCAGTGTGGCGGGGCCGATGGGAAAACACCCATTAGGTCTCCAGTTTGGGGCTCGAATGATATCAGCTTGAGCCCGCAGTCCCGTGTATCTTTGATGAATAAAAAATGAGGAAACAAATCAATTATTACTTAATTCTTGCAGTCTTGTTGGAAGGCAGAGCCTTGAAAGCAGCACCAGCGGCACGGCGGACCTGAGCCGCCTTCCGGCCCTCACCCATCCAGCAGTGCCGCTCTTGGCAGGGCCTGGCCTGGTTTTAAAATCCTCTCAAACACAGGCCTCCTGGGGCCGGGCTCTTGTTTGCAAGGCTGCTTTAACCTATTAACAGAATCAGCAAGGAGGCGGCTTTGCACCCCTCGCCGCCCTGCGCCGCGCCGCGTCTCGTTTCTCACTGAGCGAGCCGAGGAGGAGTTCTGCGCCTTGATCGCCTCTCACCTCCGCCGTCCCGTCCCCAGCGTCATCCCCTTGTAAACATTACTTAATATTCCCGGGGCACTGTGACATGCTGGTCTCGCCAGCTAATTAGACTTGGGCTTGCCGGAGATCCTGGCCCCTGCTGAAACAGGGCCTGGGGATGTAGAGGGAAGGCCGTGGGCCGAGCCTGCGCTGGTCCCACCCCTGCTGACCAGCGTCTAACTACCCCCATGCTTGGTGTCCGTCAGGCCCTTCTAGATCTTTCTGTCTGGAGTCTCCAAGGTCTCTGGTGCTGGCTTATTCTCAGCCCCTAGCTGGGCCCTGCTGAGATGTGGGTTGAGAGCCAGAAATCACATCAGCTGCTCACCTCTGGGGGCGGGGGTGGGTGGAGCTCAGTCTTTACTCCTGGGCTCAGCCCCATCCTGCCAGCCAGGCCCACCGACAGGTGTACCGCATCGCTGTTCCCCTGTGTAGATTTCTCTGGGAAATAGGGATCCCGAGAGTGGCCTGGGAGGCTGCCGGGTGGGAGGCAGGGGTAGTGGGGGGCTTCTCTGGCGTGTGGGAAAGGAGCTCAAGAGGGCCTACTTCCCAGGGTCCCTGTCCTGCTTCCTCCTTTCCCAGGTTTCCATTGCAGCCACCTCCCATTTTCACCTGCTCTGGCCTGGGCCTGGGCTCTCACTGCCGAGCGGCCGCCCACAGACAGCTGCACCTGCGCGAGCTCACGGGGACCGCTGGCCCTTGCCCGGGGTGCCTGGGAGCAGGGAAGCTGGAGGAATGGGAGCAACGACGCAGGTGGCCAGCGAGGTGAGCGCTGTGGGGCCTGGGGCCCAACAAGAGGCTGCGAGGTCCAGCGCTCGCGCGCTCCCCGCCCTTGTCACGGGAGTGAAGCCAGCGAGAGCGGGAGGAGAGGTCCCGGCCGGGGCGGGCTGCTGTATCGCGCGAGACGGGGACGCACGAGAAGGTTCCAGGCTCGCTTGCGGTGCGCGGTGATGCTGGCCCCAGAGTGCATGATCAAAACAGGGCAGGCTGGAGCCCGGCCCTACTCTGCCCCGCCCTGGCAACGCCTCCGTGGTCTGGCAGCCTTCCCTGCTCTCAGGACCTCGGGGTGCGGTCGTGTGGGGGCACAGGGGGTCCCCCCGATACTCCAGTGTCTGCGCACGGACAGGGCGCTGAGGGCAGAGGTCTCTGTGGGTGTCCATGTTTCCTAGGCAGGGCTCTCCCCCTTCCAGCACAAAACTGCCACACACTGGGCCTTAGGAGGCCTGGCGGGGACCTGGCCGGGACCTGGCCACGATGCTGGGTCCGGGGCTCGCCTCCCCAAGTCGGGAGCTCAGCTCTTGCTGAAGCTCTGGGCACTCCTTGTGCAGGCGACGGTGCCCAGGCGCACTGTGTCTCGGACTCTGCCCGCCCTGGCCGCCACTGGCCCGAATATGGTCTCTGCGGGAGAGCCGTGGCCGCCAGCGCGACCACTGGCAGTGTCCTCACCGGGCGCCTGCCCTGTCTACCACGCGGGGTGTGACCACGTGCTAATGAATCTCGCGCGTGCGCACACAGGACCCGCCAAGGGGGAGGACCCGCTTCCGGCGGCGACGAGGGCTTCCGCCCCGTGCAGCCCCCGGGGTTGCGGGGCCAGGAGCGCCCCTGAGCAGCCTGCTCGCTCTGCTCAGCGGTGCTAGGGCTTCCACGGGGCTGACTTCATGCATGGGTAGCGAGACCCAGCACGTGTCCCCTGGGCGCGCAGGCCGAAGGCGGGGCCCGCGTGGGGGTGCGGCGCACGTGCTCCGTGCCCTGTTGCAATTGCTCGGCCCTTGCTGGTGTCCCTGGCGGGGCTTCCCAGTGCCCCTCAGCAGTCGGCGTCTGTCTCATGGTGAAGTCGCGCTGTTGCAGAGCTGCGCGACTCTTAGCGTGTTCCTTCTGATGTTCCTCCGCGGCCTTCATGCTTGCAAGTCCATTCCCGAGAGAAGACACTGACCCGTAGCCTCCGCTTCTCCTGGGTGGCGTTCTTCCGTCGCCACCCGGCCCAGCCCAGCCCCGCGCCGGCCCGCAGCCCCGCTGGTCCTCCGCGGCCGCCTGGCCGTCTCTCGGGCTGGCCTGGGCCCGCCCCGCAAGCCCTCAGCAGGGCGAGGTGTTCAGCACCTGGCAGGCGGGAGCTGGAAGCCCCCTCCCCTGCGCGCACACTCCCGTCCCGATGTGGGGCCGCTCAGCTGTGTCACCTTTGGCAGCGGTGCCAATCACGGCCCCCAGCCCCGCCTCCCCACCACGGGCCTGCCGGCAACATCGCAGGAGCACCTGGATTGAGCCCGGCCTGCAGCCCGCAACTCCCCGCCTGCCCCTCCTGTGGCGCTAAGGGACCTTTTAACTCCAGCCCCTGTGCGGCAGATTTCTGCCACCGCAGACAAACTCCTGACCAGCTCGCCCCTGCGTCGCGAGGCTTCCGGCCTCACTGCCGACCTCCTAGGATGGCAGAGGTGCCCGCGGCCTCGCACAGCCTCGTCCTGTAGTTGGCGAAGCCAGGCTCCCAGAAGGGGAAGGATCTTTTCCAGGGTCACGTGGTGAGTTGTCGCCTGCCCGAAAGGGAGAAAGAACTTGCGCCCACCGGCCAGTGGCCTGAGCTGTGCCGTGGCCTCAGCACCGGAGAGCTCGCTGCTGCCTTTGGCTGTGTAAGCGGGTGGGAGCCGACGCCCCGCTCGGGACTCAGCCGCTGGCGGGCACGCTGGTGGTCCCAACCAAGGCGGCGTGTCCTG